GAGATGTGGAGGAAAGGATTACACAAACATAACTCACTCCAAATATTCTTAGAGTAAATCAGTAGAGGAGAAATAGATACTGGCAAAAGTACTTGCAAGTAAATTTATAAGCAATTGTTTAATTTTACTCAAAATTTATAAACCAAATTGAAGCATAACAAGCCTAAAACATGAAACAGTTTCTTCCAATTCACAAATATAACTATGCACACACATCATCTGATCATCCCATAGAGTGTTCATCAGACCTTCTCAAACCGCATGTAAAAAACCAGAATGACGGTGTCTTAATTTGTTGTTGCTGTTCAAATAAACACACATCACTAGTGAAGAAAAATGGAAGCAGAAAGAAGCTGGCCTGCCATTGACAGAGTTCATAAAAGAGTCTAGAATTGAATCAACTTAATAAATGTTTATAGAAATCCTCTTACAGGTGACTACAAAGTAAGACAAGCCCCTGGCTTTTAGAGAAGTGGAAAAAAATTAGTACAAAAACCTCTCAAGGCAGATCATAAGTACAAATAAGTACAAAATACCAAGAGGATTTAGAATAAGGAAAGTTAACATCTGATTGGAGGGGCGGGGAGTCCAGACAGGCTTCACAGGAATGCCTGTGTCTCCCTGTCATTCTGCCATTTTTAAAAAGATTATTTTAACATGAAAAAAATATAGAGAAATATACAAAAACAAAAAGAAAAATGACACCAAATGTCACCACTTTCATTTCCCTGGCTCAGTAAGTCTACCTACCCTATAGAAAAACAACATCTTAACAACTTGGTACCTAATTTGCAAAAATTAAAAAAAAAAATTTTTTGAATAGTACATACACATAAGTCATTTTTAATTTTTTAATAATAGTATTTTAATAGGTAGTATTTAATAAAATAGTATTTTAATAAAATAGTATATACACATAAGTCATTTAAAATGGGACAATACATATTATTGTACGACATGACATGTTTGTTTAATTTACTATCTTGCTCTCCTTTTTGGCTGGCATATAGAAGGGATAAAGTTGACAGAGGCATCGCTTCTTCGATGCCTTCAATGCCCATGGCAATGATGACCTTACTGGACATTCTTGCAAACCCTCTAATGAAGTTTTCCAGCGAGAAGATAAATGAGAAAGTTCTTACCTAAGAACATATTTAGAAGGCCACCCCTGGTCTGCCTAACTCCACACTGTCAACTACAGTAGCCACTAGACATATTTGGCTTTTGAAATTTAAATTAATGAAAATTAAAAGTTTAGTTCCTCAGTCACAATAGCCACATTTCAAATGCTCACTCAGTGGCCACATGTGTCTAGTGACCACTGTATTGGACATCACAAATAAAGAATATGGCCATCTTTGTAGAGAGTTCTATCAGACCACAATCATAGCCAATCAATCTTTTTATTTCAGCTGGCTAGAGAATGGAAGTTAGTGACAAAGACTACATGGGTGACTAATGGAGAAGGAAAATGAAGGCCACCCAAATCTGGAAGGCTCCTGCCGTACTAAGGTGATCCACACATAGTTGGCACTTATCACTCTGAACCCAGAATGCCTCTGGACATTTGAAAAGGGTCACCCAAGAGTTGATGTGCTCATGGCCTCCTGGTGATGGCTTACTGATTGTATCCTTCACTCATGATTAGTGAAGTTTGGCTAATTTTACTAATGTATGCTTATTTCATATGTTACAAGTCATAATCCTGTGCTCTCAGGTTAAGATCTATGATTCCAGCATAGTATTCAATTTAATGCAACTGAATAATGTGGATGCACTATAATTTATTTAATCATCAATCTATTGATAAGGCATTTAGGCTGCTTCAGATGTTTTGCTTTCACAAATACCACGGCAGTGAATGCTCATGTATGTCAATCTATCATATACTCAGACAATTGTTCTGTAGGATAGAATGCTGAAAGTAATTTTGCTGAGTCATAAGGTTATGAACATTTGTCATGTTAATAGATACTGCAAATCACTGTTCTAAAGAGTTGTACCAATGTATTCTCCCTCTAACAGTATAGCAAAGGCTCTTTTATCCATACTATTTCCATCACTGATATTATCGCTTATTAATTTTTGCCAATATGACGGTTTTTACTTGCTTTTCTTTCATCATTAGTGAGGCCAGGATCTATTTACATGTTAATTAGCTATTTGAATATCCATAAATTGTCTTTTCATGGCCCTTTTATGTACTTTGCCATTTTATTTATTAATATTTATAGGATAGTTTGTCTTTTGCTGGTTGATTTGTAGGAGGTTTTGGTTTATTGGTGTTACTTTGTGTTTTATGTGTGGCAAATATCTATCTTCCTCAATACCCCTCCCCCCATTCTCTTCACAGCTGTTGCTTTTTAATTTGTTTTAAAGTTTTCAAGTAATCAAATCTGTCAATATTTTCTTTTAAGTCTTCTGGGTTTGAGGTCTTTCTTAAGAAGTGGTTTCCCCCATTCTAAGATTACAAACATATCCTTTCCTTTTAAACTTTTAATATTTTCTTTTTTTACATATAAAGCTATAATCCACCTGGAATTTATTTTTGCATATAGCGAGAGATAAAACTCCAACTTAATTTTCTTACAAATAGGTAGCCAATTGCTTTAGTATCATTTAGGGGGAAAATTATCTTTTTCTCCACTGCTTTAAAATGTCACATTTATCATGTATGTCTTATAAACACTTTAATCTGCTTCTGGACTATTTTATTTTAATTAGCAACTTACCTACAGTCTTCCACCTTCTAGATGACAAAAAGTACATGGACTTGAGGAAATTTAGGGTTCCAATTCTAATAAGAAGTCCTTATTTTAATCAATCAAGGCCACAGTCAGTGACTTGGCAAACATGTATTCAGGACTTATAGTATGTTTTCAGTCTACCTCTGTCCCAGCTTTGCTATACCCTCCTTGATGGCAGCCTGGTGTTTGGCACGTGGCAGAGCACCAAGTAATTATTTGTTGAATGTGTTAATGCAAAATTGTGAGTTCACCTCACTCAGATAAAAGTATATACTTTAAAAGTCATCATTTGATCAGTGTCAACTTTCAGCTTATTAGCAATAAATCTTAGGAGAGGAAATGATAGCTTGCATTCCTGAAGGAATACAACTTCATTAAAGCTACTAAAATAATATACCTCCTCCAAAATGATGTTGCAATGCACTTGACGGGATGCTCAGGCTGCTGGCCACCCCCCTCTCCTGTCCAAGATGACTATCACATACATTTTACTGTCTCCTTCAATCCCTAAAAGCCCCACCCCATCAGAAGAAGACCTTTACACCTTCCCTCCACGATGCCAGACCCTGCCTTCCCTCCTGCTAGAACAAATGCTCCTGGTTAGGACAAACTGTCCCAGCTTACTTACACAAGGATTTTCTATCACCTCTCTTGCCTGTGCCAATCCTGTCTTCTAGATCATTTTCATCAGCACACAAACAACTGCAAATATCTTCATCTTAAAAACAAAACAAACAAAACCTTGTCATTAACCCACGTCGCTCTCAGCTACCGTATTTTCCCTTTCCTCTAGAGCAAAACTCCTTGAAAAAGTGCCTGTGCTGGCTGGGCTTTTTTTCTCTGTGCCTTTCATCCCTTGGAACTAACTCCACTCAAGTTTTACTCCCTACCATTCCCCAGAATTGTTATGATTAGGTAACTACTAACTTCCACATTGCCAAAACAGCAGTCAGGTCTTCCTGCTCATCATACAGCTCCTAGCAGCCACATCCGACTCCACTGATCACTCTGTCCTTAAAATAATTTCCTAATTTGGCTTCAGAGACACCCAGTTCTCATGGTTTTTCATGCCTCACTGGCTGCTCCTTCTCAGTCCCCTTAAATTAACTGCCTTCCCCCAACACACACACACACACACACACACACACACACACCCATCTCTGGTTTCTACATGTAGAAGTGACGCAGGTCTCAGTTCTTGAAGCTCTTCTCTTTTCTGACCACACTCACTCTCGAGGTAATCATCCAGTCCCGCCAGTTTAAATATCCTGGTTGACTCTTAAATTTTCTATCTCCATTCACAACCTTAGCTCTGAACTCAAAAACTCATATATACAACTACATACTCAATACCTTCGATTGGATGTCTAATCAATGTATCAGCCTTAACAAGTCCAAAACCAAAATCAAAGTAAAATGAAACAATAGTAATAATGGCTGGAAACCCCTGCTTTTCCCCAGTATCTGCCCATTCAGTTACCACCCTAGCTAAGCAACCATTAGCTCTTGCCTCCATCACTCTAAAAACCTCCTAGTTGCTCTCTACTTCTATTCTGCTACATTCCCTCTCCCCAGTTCTATTCTCTAAGCTCTCGTGATCCTTTAAATTGTAAACCAGACCACATAACTCTTCTGCTCAAAATTTTCCAGCAACTTCCCATCACTTGGAATAAAATCCATGGTGTTTATACAGCCTCTGAAGCTGTGATCTGACCCCTGCCCATGTATCCCACTTCAGTGTTCACCACCACTTCATTCTTGAACGCCAAAGGCCAACTATCCCATACATGAGGGAATGAAATGATGCTTTCTGTGCCTTGTGCACACATCAAGCTGACCTGTGACTCAGGGCCTCGGTAACTGCTCTCCCCACCTCCTGATACATTGTACTTGCAGGGATCTGCACAGCACTATTCCCTTTAGGTCTCTGCTCTAAGGTTACCTTCTCCCTATTTTTCACCCTCATTTATTTTTCTTCCTGGTACTTAAAACTACCCTACATTCTAGTACATATTGTTTATTATCAAACACCTTAACTAAAATATAAGCTCTATGAGACGATGGGGCTTTTCTTAAATTCATTTTTTTAATCTCAGAACCTGGAACAGTACCTGAAACATAGTAGCTGTGTAATAAATATTTGGTAAAGAAACGAGTAAACAAATAAACATGAACATAGTTTGATTATGAATATGGCTTAATGATCTTAATACATAACCCCAAAGGGCAAACCTATTTTTTGGCATTACTCACTTTCCGTTGTTTTACAGAGTCCAATTTTATGAGCCAGTATGAAGCCACTTTTGTTTTATGATACTTCCAGTTATCAATGATCTGTTTGGGGGGAGAAACATTAAGAAATTTAATCTAAAATTTTCCTCAAAAGTAACAAAGAGCAAATGAATGGGTTGAAACCAATTTTATTAATTTGTGAAACAGAAGCACTGTAATATCACTTGCAACAAAGAATGTCTACTTTCATAAAGACGTGTGCAAAGATTTCTAAGTTAAAGTAAAGAAGCCATCAGAATCCAAAGTTTTCTCTTCTTGATATAAAAAGCACACAGTCTCTAATAAATGGAAGTCAAATGTCTTCAGGTACCTAGGATTTGGGAAGTAGCCCAAAACACAGATTTTCCATTTTAATTCCAAGAGCTATATTTACCACATCACCCTATATAATAACAGAATATTGAACAATACATTAGAAGATAGCCTATATGTAATCAGGGTTCTATTTCACCTTTGTTTTGTTTTTATTGTTACAAATCTGCAAAATTTCCAAATATATATTCTAGTAATATATACTGTAGCAAACAAATTAAAATATTTGCTGCATATAGTAAACAACCTAATGTCTTATATAATTATCCATTATATTTTACTAATTATATAAGCCGATTCTTTATAAAACAATCACATCAGCCACAAATATTAGTTCTACTTTCTGATTATCTAATTTTTCTCCTACCTGATTCAAAAGGTTGGTATATAACCAATATCTCTAAGAAATATACGTAAAATGGTACAAATTTTTGTCTTTACCTAGAAAAGAACTTGATTGAATAAAATAACATGTAAATAAAAACACATCTACATAATGCTTTACAACTAATGTTAATTTTTCCTCCTTTCTCCTTGATGTAACAAATATCAGCTCGTTTGTAAATAAGATACCATTTTCCCTTTTTAAAATATTCATATAACAAAATAATGTAAAATATTTGGGGATTTTGCTCATAACTATGTCATGATTACAAAATAGAAATTGCCACTATTAATTTTTTAAATTAAGAAAGTTAAATTTTTGTTATTATTTGTTGTAGTACTTTTTGGTTTGTTTGTTTTGTTTCAGAAAGACCGTTGCTTCAGACAGGTCTAAAGTAATGATAAAATGTGAAACATGCCAAGTGCATCGTTCTGGTTCTTATCCTATAACTGGCCACTAGATGGTGCCTTCTCCTCTGGAACAACAACAGCAACAACAAAAACAAACCAAAACAAACCAAAAAAAACCCACAACTAAAAACCAAAACCAAAACCCCAAACAAAACTAAACAAAACAGGGAAACCAGAAAACAATCTTCTGTTACTGAGGGATTACCTAGGAATGTCAATTTGAAACAGATGTTTAAATGAAATCAATCTCTGAAGGAATGCTTTTTCACCAGAAATATCTGAATAACTTGGAACTTCTTTCTAAAATAGGAGTAAATCATTGACTTTAATGTGAATTTTTCAGGACTGTGTCATTTTAGAATGTTCCACTGGGTGGTGCAAATGTGTTTATAAGAAGAAAAACACCCCCAACATGAGCCATTTCACAATTTGACAAAAACCATTCAAGGTATCACATTCAAATATTCTTGACATTTCATACCCAGGGCCCTATTTTTTTTTCATTACAACTCAAACCATGTTAGATCCTTCTAAATCTTTACAGAAGGAGGCTTAACTTTGATATTTCTTTCATCATTAAGAACATTAATTATTCTCACTTGATGAAGCAATTGCATCATTAAAATAAGACTAGACACTAAAAGATACTTTGCATTACTGATTACGTGATCTCACTGCTCATGAATCATAATAATTAATATAACCCCTGTATTTTCTAAAGCTTGTGGAGGTTGAAAAGAACATCAGTTAAGTTTACCATGTCATTGAGAATAATGCCATCAGGAAATAAATTTTAATATTTTAAGAAGAAGAATAAAAAGTTGCGAGCTCCTTGAAATTTCATATACATCAAATACTCACATCTTCTATCAGAAGTAATGATTCTGCATCTGATTTTCCTGGAAACCGGATCTTCATGTCCTTGAGGACAAATAAGGTCTGACTCGTTAGATCGTCTTCTTGTTCCTTTGTTCTCAGTTGCCGCAAAGACTCACTCTTAAATTTGAAAGAATACAGATATTTGGAGGGGGTCTTATTTCATTGTGCCACTACAATCTGAAAGATATTTCTAGGTAAAAATGATGCACTTTTAATTAAAAAAAACAATGAAAAAGAAAATAATTTCTTTTACATTTATTCTTAGGGTTAACCGGATATGATTTCCCAAGAGTGTCTTTCACACTTCCACACAGTTATAGTTTATTTAGCTCAAAATACTAAAATAAAAATATAAGTGTTTAAAAAAAGACTTCCTGGTCAGTTCATTTGTTACATATACCCTAGGCAATTCTTGATTAGAAAAAATAATTATTGATTGTTACCAAGTGAAATTCATTCATTTATATTTTCTAAACTCTTCTATTTGGGAACATCATTCACATTAAATAAACAATTTAAATAAATCCCTGGCCTATGTGAGGGTACAAGGAGATATCTATTTGAGCATCTACAAGTAAGCCTGGTTGCAAAATAAACTCGCTGACTTCTTCAACACGAATCTTTGGGATTCATGCTAAGGAAAGAATGATATATGTTAATTTAAACATAAAGAAAACATTATCAACAATGTTAATACTTCAGTGCTCTAAGGCTAATTTATCAATGGTTTGTTTTTTTAATCTATTAATCAAGAGTCCCATTAAGGAAAATTTACCGTCCAACAAATTCCCCCAAATTTACAGCTGTACTGCACAATACACTGTAAGATTATATACCTACTCAGATAAAATTCAACAAAATTATCCTACACCATCAGCAAATGGAAAATAAAATGCTATTCTGTGTCCATCCTCAAGTTCTATGATATAGTGGGGTCTGCTTTTTAAGTTACAGGTTAAGACAGATGAATCATCCAAATTCCAGAAGACCGTGAGCTGAGTTACAGAAAGGACCTGGGGTGCAATCTGTCCTCCTCCCATCCTCCCAGCCAATCCCTTGCCGTCTAAATCCTGAGGATAGTGCTTCCTGTAATCTCAGTGGAGCAAGATCAGTGACTTACCATCTGAGAGTTAGGAGAGCTGGCATCATTAGTGTGAGGCAGATGCCTCATGTAGGAGGAGGCACGGTTTAAAGAATGTGACCGGGACCCTGAATTTGGCCGGGATGCTGGTATCACTTGTTGCGCAGAAAAGGGGCGGCTGTCTGCGCTGGAAGGTGACTGAGAAGAGATGGACCGAGGGCAACTGACTGAGCGCCTAATGGAGCCTATGATAATGGAGAGGAGGGACAGTACAGTAGCAGAGTTAGTAAGTTTCCCACTGCATTGGATTTAAACTAACAATTAGACCACATGGTAGCAAAACAGCAATAAATGTGAAAGCACAGACATCATCACGAGAATATGAGTTTGAAGTTAATTCTTCAGCTTAAACAGTAAATTTGGTGCAGAACCCCTATCATGTATTAATGGTTACCATGAGAACAATTTTTTAAACAGTTCTGTTCTTGACACATGACATAAAGGAACCAGAAGAAAGGAAAACTAACATTTACAAAGCACCTTCTATAAGCCAGGCACCTTGCTAGGTGCTACACTTTCATCTTAATCCTCACAGAAACCCTCTGAAGTAGGAATCTGCATTGTCTGGAGGCTCAGAAGAAGAACTTTCTCAAGATCACATGATGAGAAAATGGCCAAGCTCAGGTTTAAGTCCTGACCTATATAATGTCAGTATCCTCCCTTCCTTTCTAAAGCATCATGCCACCTACTATCTTTGCATTAGACTGGTCATTGATTAGAATCTGTGTATAGGTTAAAAATAGAATATTTTATAGCAAGCTTCATAGGGAGGGATGGAAAGGAGTCTAGAGAGTGGCCAGAATAAATGGATGTTATAGAATTTAGGGCAGGTAAGGAAAAAAAACACAGTAAAACAGAAGAAAGACATAAAGATTATCCTAATGGAGTTTAAATATATAATTGGTATTACAAGAGTAGTAGTAGACAGGTAGTCTTCTTATTCACAGGAGACAAGAATGAAAAAAAAAAAAACACCTAGATTTAGATTCCCATAGTAGAAGATTTAAGTCAAGAAAAAAATGTCTAGGTCTAGAGATTGTTATCAGAACAAACTAGGGAAAACCAAAGAATATCTTCCTCAATGAATATTGAGACCATTTAAAAAAGAGAACCAACTGTTCCAGGTAAATTTTGATTCCTGGCACAGGGAAACAGAATATCACTCAATATCATCAACAGTTATATCCTTTTCAGTTCATTTTGTAAATACCCTCTGTTCTATATTCTCTCTCTGCTTGGGGAATATATCAATCTTCATTAATTAAATAATTTAATAAAACTCACATGAAGGCAGGTTGAATACCCAAATATTTCTCTTCATTAGCTGTTGAAAAAAATTTAAACTTTATAAAGGCAATGGACATTGCCTTTATATTTAGGGATGTATTTCTATAGGATATTTTGAGTCGAGGATAAGCCTAATACCATTTGGTTCTGGTGAGTATAAAAAATATACTCATTAAAGCTATAAAAGATGTTTAAAAAAAAAAACCTTCCACTTGTTCCAATTATTAACTTTCTTCTGAACCTAAAAGTCACATCCAATTTTTTTAAAGGACTATGCTTCTAGAAAAGAGCTGTGTGAGGAACATATCACTAGTCAATCTGCTACTAGGAAAACACAAAAGCATGTGCTACTACCTACACCTTGGTTCTGCTCTCTTTAAGGGCTTAAGGTGATAGTTTGGACATGTATAACCTGATCACAGGAGCAGAAGAAAAATATCCTTTCTCTTGAATCACCACAGATTCCCATTTTTCCCCTGCACACACTGGAAATTCAGACAGAATAATTAAGTCACTAGATACGCCAATAATATTTAGGCAGACGAGCAAAAAATGGTTGTAACTTGCATATACAAGTTATGCGAGAAAAATATTTCATATAGTTTTATATATGAACACCTTATATCAACCCAAAATATATCTTTGAAACTATAACAAGTATAAGTTTCCTAAGTTAGCTCTCTACACCAGAAAATGTTACACATAATCTGGATTTTGTCCCATCACTAGCATCACTTTGGAGAGAAAGCTCAAGGAGGGTTTGTGGCTATGGTATTCCTCAGTGTAATATTAAAGAGAGAATATAAAACAAATGGAAACCTTTGTGGTAATTCCTAATGACTATAAAAATAAAATATAACTAATAAGGAAGAAGATATATAACTGAGCTAAGTTAGCTTTAAAATGTGAATTCACACTTAAAAACATTTTTAGTGCACTATTTTTCTGATCTCAATTTATTTTTGGTCTGAGAACAAAGAACAATGTCAGAGCTATAGAAATCTTGGCAACATTTTCGCAACCCTACCCTCATCCTCTGTTGGCTTGCGCTCTTAGGGATGCACACCTTACACAAGGGGTTAAACAACCGATGAGATCTGGACAAGACAATGTCAGCTTCCAAAAGAGAAACAGAGCCATACTTTCAGAGACACGCTGAAAGTACTTAAGGCATCTTTAAGGAAAAAAGGAAGTAATTGATAAAATAGCTTGCAAACTCTAGAACAGGTGCTCACAACAGACATCTTAAATGAGTAAATAAATAAATGAAATGCAATATAGTACATTATTTCCCCTCCAAACACATGAACTCTCAAAGACAGGAACATTAGCATGTATCTTTATAAAACAATTCAGTAAAAGAAAGTAAAGGAAAAGGAAAAGAAAGAATATTAAAAGTCTTCATGATAATTTGGGAAGAGATAATTAAAAATCTTCATCTGTTTGTGCTGCATTCCTTGTGGTATTTTGCCATAAGTTTGGAAAGCCAGGTTTAAAGCACTCTCATTACCAGAGAACTAACGTATTAAGTAAACCAGTGCTGGAGATCAACGAAGGATCGCAGTTGTGTTTCCTGCATGACTGAACTGGCTCCTCTCGTGGAGCCCTGGGGCAATGGAGGATGAGGCAGAGGCAGGAGAGAGGGGTTAAGAAAAGCCCTGCCTTGGAGGCAGCATGGGGAAAGAGGGATCCAAATGAGCCTGGGAAAACAGCAATACCACACTGGACTTCGGGGGACGAAAGAATCGTGGACCCATGTGAAATCAAAGAAGGAACGAGTGACAGAATGGAGGAGAGAGAAAATGTGAAAAGAAAGGATGAAAGAGAAAAGAAGAAGACGGAAGGGAAGCCAACAGAGCAGCTGGCTGGTTACTGTCCGGAACTCTTGCTGTAGGTATCCCCAAAGTCCTCACTTAAGTGCTTAGCCCTGATGAAAACAGGAGGGAACAAAACTTCAACTATTTCACAATCGCGCGGCTCACAGAGAGGTTCAAGTCAAATGCCTGGAGAGAGACACACATTTTTTAAGAAGAGGTGAGCATATAAAATAAAACTGGTGACCAAAAGGGAGGGAAAGCGGGGGGAAAAGGAATGAGGGAACATAACTGTCTTAAGAGAGAATGCAGCCCGCAGATCAGCAGCCATGAGGCCCATTTCACAAAATCCATGCGACAATCCAGGACGTCACAAGAACTGTGAAATAAAGAAGAAAGGACTCGCAGAGACCCTTCATTCAGCCTGTTTGTTTTCCATGTGCAGCCCCTGGAAGGGACTGTGCGGTGTGCCCAGGTCAGGTGAGGGAAGGAAGTGGGATGGAGTCCAGCTCCCCTCACACACGGCAAGGGTTCTTGTGGCCCAAGGTCTTTTATTGAGTTCAGTAATTTCCGTTCCATAATTCTTCACATAACAACGAAATTAGAAGAAATTAACTTACTGGATTGTTGAATTAATTTGTAGTTGTTGGACTGTTTAAGGTTATACGTAACTTGCTTTTCCCTGTTCTTATTTTGGTACTCTTCGTTCTCGTCCTCGGGTTCTGAAGCGCTGCGGCTGCTGTCGTAACTGCTGTCGCTGCTGTAGTATTTCTGTCTTTTCATTACCTCAGAGCTCTCAGGCATGGAGGATAGAGGCTAAACAAGAGGGAAATGGGTTCTCCTGTCAGAACTCACAACACTGCTAATAAATTATTAGCATGAGGAGTTACTATTCTTAATTTCCCGCTTATGCTTGCTGCTTTTCACCAAAGCCTGAAACCCCCCCAAAGCATGACTGCTACCAGGCTGCCGTTGGCCTGCCGTGCTAGCCACGGATGGTTCTGCTTCGGCCAAATGGTCCTTCTTCAATGCTACAGAGCTCAGTCGTGATGAGGAAAATGCTGTTTCTGCGTGATTTGAGGAAATGACCAGAGTACCCACAAAGAATAACAAAATAAAGTAGTTGAGATGAAAATGAAAATATAAAAATCAGAGACGTAATCAGCTTTTCTTCATTCCATACAGAGAGATTACTCATTACTCATCAAAACGCAGAGGTGTACTTTTGTTGTATCACTGATGTGCAGAGTCACTCAGTAAGTGTGTGTGTGTGTGTGTGTGTGTGTGTGTGTGTGTGTAGCTTGTGAGAGAGAGAATAAGAGAGAAGGGTGGGAGCGGGGGTAAGAAAGGCAGAAAGAGTAAGAAAGCAGCAGCCAGTTAAACCACGGCCAGTAAAGGGGCACCCGGTGGCTCAGTCGGTTAAGCGGCTGCCTTCCGCTTGGGTTGTGATCCCAGGGTCCTGGGATCGAGCCCTGCATCGGGCTCCTTGCTCAGCAGAGAGCCTGCTTCTCCCTCTGTCCATCCCCCTGCTTGTTCTCTCTCTCTCAAATAAATAAATAAAATCTTAAAAAAAAACCCACTGTAAATAAAATAAGATGAATTACTGTAAGTATAGTAAGGCCACATCATTCAACACAGCCTATGAGCCTATCCACTCAGATAATGTGTAACCCAAAGCAAGGTATTCCTCACATGTCTAATTTGCTGTGGATATTTTTCCAAATAAAAATTTTTAGTTAATTGTCTACTTTCCAAATTGGTTCTGAACAGCACGTGCCTCTTCTCGTGGGATTTCTAAATCTGACATATAGGTCTGGCCATAATGGAGGAACATTGCTCCTCATTGCCCATGCTACATAAAATAAGTGGTATCATGTAAAAGTCAGCATGGCAAGAATTTTTGGAGGCTAGGTGCCATGTAGAAGGGTAAATCTGTAATGATTCAAAATGCCCTGCTGTTATGTTCCAATATTTCCATTAGAATTACTTGTCTTCAAACCTCCCAATCAATGTGTTTCCAAGGATGCCAGCCCAGGGAATAAAAGATAAGGGAAGTAGGCCAGCTTCACTTCAGAAAGAATGTGCACAACCAAGAACAAGACATTTTTATGACGTAGTCATTTTAAGAGACTATTTATTATACAAACCATACGCCTCTTACTCCTGCTGGGAAAGGCTCCTGTAGCTATACACTAGATTCTTGTTCTCTGTGAAACAAAAATGCTTTGATGCTAGCATACACCATCATGAAACCCTTGGTTACCATGGCATTTCACAGAAATAAGGTATATCTTCTCATGTATCGGTGTAGGATGAAAGATAAAGAGAGAAACAGCATTTCATGAAGTGCGTGGAAGACACAGTAAGCCAAACCATGATCCTCTTAAAGTCACCGCCTTTGCAAAGGGTGAAAAATAACCAAAGAAAGCAGGAAAAGTAATTTAATGCACTACAGTACCAACTTGTATTTCAAAGTATGTTTTCCTTTTGATAGTCTAATATCTACTGAGCCCTAACACTGTTCAAAGAGATATGCATAAAAACACTGACTAGGACACAATCATGGAAGAGTTTGATAGTCTTGGGGAATATGAATTCTAGAGGAGGCATGTTTCTTCAGAAGTCTCGCAGACCCCAAAGAAACAGGGGCACAACCAGGCTTGCTAGTAGTGTCCTCTTACATGTAGGCAAACAGCTTTAGGGGTTCTTAAAGAACTTGACTAATGAGTTATTTGATCCTATAAAGAATCACTAAGGGAAACAGATAGCTGAACCTTTGTGTCATATACGCATTTGGGACTTTTTGACCAACAAACTGTTCAAGCAATAATTAATAAGAAGTGATAGCAGTGTGAACTTCGAACAGTACCTTAACTACAAAATGTAATTTGTAAATTGGCATTGAGTTAGGACACAAGCCATACTACCAATTTTATGTCCAATTTTATTATGAACTGGGCCATACATAATAAATATGTAAATAGCATAAAGATTAGTATGTCCCTACCACCCAGCTGAAAAAAAAGAACAATGCTAATAGGTGATAGTTTATGTGGTATTTATTATTTATATAGCTAATTAATATTTCTTAGTTTCTCAAATAAGTGAAAAATTATTATTTCTCCTAGTATAAGCTTCATTTAGTCTTCACTATCTCCAATTATTCTTCTACCATAAACATACTGGAAATTAATGTTTACCATATGATATCATCCCTCTAAAAATGAAAGGCTCTTTGAAGTTTGGCTCACCCCAGATCCTCAGTGTGAAAGTGAAGAAACCTTCCCTAAAATCTGGCAATTTAAATACATAGCTGAAATCTATTATGCATTAATATCATAAACAAATGTATCCTTATGTTCTAGTACACTATTAAAATCTTAGAGTGCAATACTTCAATAAATTAGCCTATTGAACATTTTAAAATTTCCAAAAGTTCACTCTAGTTTTCCAGAGCACAATTTCATCAATCATTTCTATATTAATTAGTGCAAATTAAAATTAAAAGTTATAAAAATGCTTTTACTTCAGATTATACAGCTTTCAACAATTTTGAAATATTACCAGCATTAATACCTACAGAAACTAGTCAATTCATTTCATTTCAACAAATACAGATGGTTTCTACTCTTGCCTAGAATACGAAGGGTTGAAAAAAATATACAATGTGAATTCTGCCTTCCAGGAGCTTATATTTTTATTTGGATGATAAGCCTTATTTAATGAAGCAAAGTATGATAGACAGCTGTTTCAGGGCCTTTGCATTTGCCATTCTGCCATAAATATTGTGCCCCTAAGTTGTCTCATAACTGGTTTGCTAAATTGCAATAATTAATACACAAAGCTTAGAACCTATTCACTTTTACAGATACTCTAAAATATATTAGAGGCATTATTAACTGCACTGTCCACAATTCTTCAGTATAAAGCACATATTTCAGAAGAACGGTGCCTGACATCCAAGGTCTCTGATCTCCACCAGATACATATCTTTTGCCAGGTTCATCTTGCACTATTTTACTCCCAGGAACCTTCCATATGAGTGATACCAAATTCTTTCTTGTTTCTCCAATACTCTATGCAATGTCACACCTCCATGTGCTTGCCTTAAGTATTCCGTCTACCCTGAATATCCTTCCCCTGCTCCTAAATATTTAGAGCACTAGTCATTTTTTAAGACCCAATTCCAGTGTCACTTCCTTTTGAGGCCATCCACAGTCTATCAATCCCTTTTTTCTCTATGTTGTTGTAGCACCTTCCACTCCCTTTATTACAGCACTTGCCACAATATACCCTGGACTTTGGTTCACCTATCTGTTCTTCCACTAGCAAATGAGGTCCTTGTGGACACATTCAACAAATTTAACTAATGGCTTTTGATAACCTCCTAAGTACTAAACACTGTGCAAGGTGCTAGAGATGACAATATGCTTCCTACCCTCAAAGTACTTACAGGTTCACTCTAAAGCAAACATGCACACAATTGTCACGAATGCTCTTAAAGTGTTATTTGTAGCACAGCAGAAGAAGCAGAAGAAGGAAGAGCTAAATCTAACTAGGGGAGTGAGGGAAGATTTCACAAAGGCAGCAATGGTTCAGCTGGATTAGAAGGGGATCTGTAATCAAGCAATGAATGGATAATTTTTTTTAAAATAGGAAGGCATTCCAGAGGCATGGAAAAAGCATGAAAGCATGACAGAGCATGATGATGTGTATAAGGACATAGCGATAGCTTTGTATTGCTGAAATGTAAACTAAAACAACAACAACGATGACAACTGAATAAAAAACTTTCCAAGATTTTGCAAATTCACCATTTTCCTACTGTACTACCAAAGCCTTTAACATATAAAAAAAGGAACATGTAGATAATCACTAAAGAGAGGGTGAAGGTAAAGCAAACACCTGCACATTTTTGCTTGCATGAGAGCTTTCTGTTTATTCCTAGAAACTATACCTATTTTAACTAACACAATTTCAATGTTACTGGGTCAACAATAAGTGGCCCCCCCATAAGGATTTCCAGAGTCATGATTTGCCTAACTATAATGCTACACATCTCTGATGATTGTTATGTCTAGAAATATGAGAAAAATGTAATACTGAGTATAGAATAAGGGTACTAGTTTTAAGTCCCTCTTGGTCCTAACTCATAGGGTTTTCAGTAGCATTAGGGAAAGAATTAAAAAATGAGGAAAACTTGGAGCGCCTGGGTGGGCTCGGTCAGTTAAGCATCTGCCTTTGGCTCAAGTCATGATCCCAGGGTCCTGAGACTAAGCCCCAGATCGGGCTCTCTGCCTCTGCTCAGCAGGGAGCCTGCTTCTCCCTCTCCCTCTGCCTGCCACTCTGCCTACTTGTGCTAGCTCTCTCTCTCTGTCAAATAAATAAATAAAACCTTTTAAAAAAATTAAAAATGAGAGAAACTAACAAAACAAAACTTCTCCTGAGTGTATCTCCCTAATTCTATCTGCACTGGACACATTGTCCATACAGTTCCTTGAAAGTGGCATCAGTCATTCTTACAGTAAGAAAAGGTAAAATCAACTGTACTTAGTAGCATCTACTTTGATAGTAAAGAATATACAGGAACAGCACCTTTGGTCCTCGAGGCTTGGCAGTTTTGCCCATCAATTTTTCATCGTCAATTTCACATTGTTCCAGAAGATCCAAAATATCTTCTTCCTTAAAAAAAAATATTAAAACTGTGATCACTAATGGACTCTAGAATTTTTCCAAGATCATTAATCTCCATAAAATAGTGTGCAATAAGGAGTCCTGGAACTCTTTAATGAAGATTGCTCAGATCAAATGAGAAATAAAGAGTTATGGAAAAATCTCTTGAAGAAACCTTCACTAAAATCTGGCAATTTAAACAATACATAGCTGAAATCTATTATGCATTAATATCATAAACAAATGTATCCTTATGTTCTAGTACACTATTAAAATCTTAGAGTACAATACTTCAATAAATTAGCCTATTGAACATTTTAAAATTTCCAAAAGTTCACTCTAGTTTTCCAGAGCACAATTTCATCAATCATTTCTATATTAATTAGTGCAAAATAATATTATGACTTCAGAAGAAAATTGATGATTGGCCTAATAGTTTCATTTGGAACAATCTAATGTTAGTATTTGGTAAATGGCACAATTTAAGGTAACTCTTTCAAAATTTTAACTATTGTGCAAGAGTATCTTTAGAACTTTATGAAAGATTTTCATTCTATGGGCATAATACTTGCTCTTCTAGAGTCACTGTGATGTCAAGGGGAAAGTTATAAAAACATATACTGAAATAGATTTTGAGCAAACCAGAGCAAATAGAGTATAATAGCTACTCTGAAAGAGGTATAATCAATAGCTTCCTTGAGTTATTTATTCAACCTATAAAAATACCGCATCTCCATTTATATATTTATGACATATTTCAGTGTCTCTTATAAAAAGATTTTTGAAGAAACTAGAAATCTTACTGTGCAATGGAAATTTGTAAAATAAGTTACTCTCCATCCCAATCCAACAAAGCTTAGCTATTAAAATACCAAAATACTTTTGCTATAATGTTTTGATTAAATAATAATCCTACAATGAATTCCTGTGACAGCAACACAAGATAGTTAAAAAGAAACTCAAAGAGTTCTGTTTCTGCTTAGGAGAAAGATCATAATAGATAATACTTTCATTATAGCAGCTAGAAAAAGATAGATAAACTAAACAATCTTTTTTTTTTAAGACATCAGAAAACTGTGCATAAAAAGTAATGTAAAATAAACTAAATACCAGAAGGGGAAAAGTTCTAGGTAAGCAGATATGAGTAGCCATTTTCTGCTTTGGAATCATTTGTCAAGTCTGCACACAGATGGGCAGAGACCACGTCTATAATAGGCTGGGATAAAGAGAATCTAATAGAGTTTTCCATGGTCATGTAGGCTAGTATAACATCTAGAACAGCCCCACAGAGCTTGTTCTCTTCACCTGCTGGGTCTCTTTGACAGCAATTTTAGTGAGCATATAGAGGAGTAGGAAGACAGACGAATGTGAAAGCCAGTAATACTCCTCTGTAGTCTTAACAGTTTTTAGATACCAATAGAAAATGAGGTCTGTAATAAAGACTGAATAAATTTCATCCTTCGGACCCTTGAAACAAGACAGTACACTAAAACTACCACAGCCCAGACTGGACCCAGTTCAACTTTTCTTTCTTTTTTCTTTCTTTCTTTCTTTCTTTTTCTTTTTCTTTCTTTCTTTTTTCTTTTTCTTTCTTTCTTTTTCTTTCTTCTTTCTTTCTTTTTTAATAGAAATAAATTTGACATATAACATTGTGCAAAGACACATTTATATATTTAATATGATTGTCAGTGTAGTAATAGTTAGCTTCTCCAATACATCGCATAATTATCATTTCTGTGACTGGAATAATAAATATCTGTTCTCTTAGCAAGTTTGGTGATTAGAAGGCAATGTTGTCTATATACACTATACTATACATTTTATCTCTAAGACTTATTTACTACTAGTTGCAAGACTGTATCCTTAAACAATCTCCTATCCCCCCACACCTGAACCCTGGTAACCACCATTTCACTATTTTTATGAGTTTGGCTTTTTTGGATTCCACATAAAAGTGAAATCCTATAGTATTTGTCTTTTTCTGTCTGGCTTATCTCAATTAGCGTAATGTTCTCAAGGTCCATCAATGTTGTCACAATGGCAGGACTTCCTTCTTCCTCATGGCTGAAAATACTCCATTGTACATATATACCACATCATCTTTATCCATTCATCCATTGACAGGCACTTACATTGTTTCCAAATCTTGGCTACTGTGAATAATGCTGCAATAAACATGGGAGTGAATTTATCGCTTTGATATCCTGTTTTCATTTCCTTTGGGTATAACCCAGAAGTGGAATTGCTGGATCATATGTTAGATCTATTTTTAACTTTTTGAGGAACCTCCATATTGCTTTCTGTAGTGGCTGAGCCAACTTATATTCCCACCAACAGTATACAAGGGTTCCCTTTTCTCCACATCCTCACCAACACTTGCTATCTCTTGTCTTCTTGATGATAGCCACTCTTAACAGGTGTGAGATGACACTGCATTGTGGTTTTGATTTGTATTTCCCTGATGTTTAGTGATGCTGAGCATTTTCCCATGTACCTGTTGGACATTTGGATGTCTTCTTTGGAAAAAAATGTCCGTTTAGCTCCTCTGCCCATTTTTTAGTTAGATTCTTTTTTGTTATCATTGGTATACAGTTGCATGAGTTCTTTAGATATTTTGGATATTAACCCCTTATCATATATATGGTTTGCAAAAATGTTCTCCTGTTCTGCAGGTTGCCTTTTCATGTTGTTGATTATTTCTTTTGCTGTGCAGAAGCTTTTAAGTTTGATGTAGTTCCACTTCTTGATTTTTGCTTTTGTTCAACTCTTCTTTGGCTGAAAGTGATTAGCCCCTTACCTTAGCACCCTGAAAGAAGAAAGATATACCTTTTTTTGGAGAAAATAATCAGTTCAATTTTAATGATTCTTTTATAGAAACTGTCAAATAAAAATTGTAGGATATCCAAAATAACAGGAAAATGTGACCCATGATAAAAAGGAAAAAAACATTTTAAAGAGCAGGTCCTTATGATCCAGATGTTAAAATTAACAAACAAGGATTTTAAAATAACTACTACATACGTATTAAAGAAAATTGATGAAAAATGAAAAAAAGGAATGAAAGATGCAGAATTTCAACAGAGAAATGAAATTTAAAAAACCAAATGGATAGGGGCACCTGGGTGGCTCAGTCGGTTAGGCGTCTGCTTTCGGCTGAGGTCATGATCCCAGGGTCCTGGGATCGAGCCCTGCATCGGGCTCCTTGCTCAGCAGGAAGTCTGCTTCTCCCTCTCCCACTCCCCCTGCTTGTGTTCCCTCTCTTGCTGTCTCTGTCAAATAAATAAATAAAATCTTAAAAAAATGGACATTCTTGAGTTGAAAAATATAATAAAAAATTAAGAAGATATTATAACAGACTGGGCAGAGCAAAGATATGTCAGTGGAAATTATCCAAACTGAAGCACATAGAAAGGATAAAGAAAGGAAAAATAGAACAGAGTATCAAGGAAACACAGGATGCTGTCCAATGACCTAATATATGTGTAGTTAGAGTCCCATAAAGAGACAAAACCAAAATAATGCAGCAGCAATATCTGAAGAAATAATGGAGGAGAATTTTCCAAAACCAATGAAATACTAAATTAAGCCAGAGGTTCAAGAAACTGAGAAAATTACAAGCAGGATTAATACAAAGAAAGTCACACATAAACACATCAAAGTCAAAATGCTGGGGAGAAAAAAAGCAGCCAGAGAAAAAGACATATCACATTTAGAAGGAAAACAAAAATAATGATGGTTGAATTCTGAATAGGAACAATAGGAACCAGAAGAAAAATAAGTGACATCTACAAAAGTGCTGAAAGGAAAAAAAAAAAAAAATCCTGCCAAGATAGAATTCTATACCCAGTTAAACTCCACTTAAAAAAGACAAAATGAAAGAGAATTTCTGACCAAAAAAAAACAAGAGAGACTGAAAATTAATCAACACATTTATGCTACAAGGAATATGAAGTACTAAAGAAAGTTTCTTCAAACTGAAGAAAGATAACCCTTGTCAGAAGCATGAATCTGCATGACAAAATGAAGAACACAAGAAAGGGTATATATGTGAGTAAATAGGAAAGGTTAGTTAGAAAACTATTAAAGACCACTGATTGCTTAGACAATACTAACAATGTATTCTGAGGTTTTTAACATAAGTAAAAGTAAAATATATGTTAACAGCACAAAGTCAGAGGGAGGCACTAAATGAAACTAAACTTATCCTTAATTCAAGGATCCTTAATTCAAGGTTATTATCATTTAAGGATGTATATTGTAATTTCTTTTTAAAAATATTATGCTACAATATAACTAAAAGCCAAAAGAGAAGATAAAATAGTATAACAAAAAATAATTTGTTTTTCCAAAAGAATAAAGGGAGCAATGAAAAAATAATGAACAAATGGAATAGAGAACAAAGAGCAAAAGGGAAGACATAAACCCACCTATACCAGTAAATGTGTGAAATGATTAAGAGACAGATAGTGTCAGACTGAATTTTAAAACAAAATATGACCCAACTACAATGGTATTTACCAGAGATATTTTAAATATAAGAACACAGATGAGTTGATAAATGTCAAAATATGTCATTCAAACAGTAGCCATAAGAAAGAAACTAGTTGGCTACATTAGTCACAAAAAGTAAACTTATGACACGGGATATTATCGAAGGGAAAGGTAAATATTTCATAATGATAAAATAGAAAGGATGAATTCATTAGAAAGACACCTTCATAACTTCAAAGTATATGAAACAAAAATCGACAGAACTAAATCCACAATCACAGTTGGAAGCTTTAACAATCTCTCTCAGTAATTGCTAGAACTAGTTGGCCAAAAAAATCAGAAAGGATATAGAATATTTGAACAACACTAATAACCAAATTTACTTATGACATGTATAAAACTCTATAACCAACACCTGTAGTAGTAGCACATTATTTTCACAAACACTTGGAACATTCACAAAATAAGTACTCTATTGAGTTAAAGCAAGCATCAATTCATTTTACAATATTAAAATCAGAATGTTTTCTAAACTAGAAATTTTTAACAAAAATAAAGCAAGAAAGTTTTAATGTATGGAAATTAAGCAAAAAACTTCTAAATAACCAAATAAAAACCAGAAATTAATTTAGAATGGTAGTTAATAAAAATATAATATGTAAAAATTGCTAGATACAAGGGCAATATACAAAAAAATCAGATGTTTACATCCTGAAAACAAATTTAAAAATGAAAAATTTTAAAAACTATATTACTGGCAATAGTAGCAAAAACATCCAATACTTAGCAATAAATTTAATTACAGATGTGCAAAAACTATACACCAAAAGCTATAAACACAGCGGAGTAATTAAAGACTCAAGTAGATGGAGAGATATGCCATATTTATGGATCAGAAAACTCAGAACTGTTAATTCCCCAGTACTGTTAATATTACCGTTAATATAGATTCTTCACAGTCCCAATTAAAATCCAGCAGCTACTTTGTAATACAAAAATTAATCAAAATTTAAAATCAAGTCAATTCCAAAATGTATATCGAAGCATAAAGGACCTAAAAAGGCCAAAAACAACAGTACTGAAGATAGTGTGTTATTTGTATAAGAAGAGGGTCACAAACCAATGGACCAGGGCAGGCAAAGTGGTGACATTTAAACTAGATTTTGAAGAAGATAAGGAAGAAGGGAATTAAGATTTGAAGCTTATTATGTGACAAGTACTTTAAGTAGACTATTTTAATTAACCTCAATTTCATTTTTATTTTTTTTAAGATTTTATTTATTTGACAGAGAGAGACACAGCGAGAGAGGGAACACAAGCAGGGGGAGTGGGAGAGGGAGAAGCAGGCTCCCCGCTGAGCAGGGAGACCAATGCAGGGCTGGATCCCAGGACCCTGGGATCATGACCTGAGCCAAAGGCAGACGTTTAACGACTGAGCCACCCAGGCGCCCCTCAATTTTATTTTAACCACCAACTTGTCAAATATAGTTTTAATACTACTGTATTAGTGATGAGCAAACTGTTGATCAAATAGTTTAGTCTAAGGTTACATAATTAACACATGGGGGACCTGGAATTTGAATGTAGGTCTATCTGGCTCCAAAATGCCTGGGTTTTCTAGCAGAAAAAGTACGGTTAGGGGAGAAGAGTAATGAGAAGATGAAACTGATGCGGTATCCACTGGAGAGACAAATAACAGTACAGAACAGATGATGGAAAATGAACAAAGGTCTCCTACTGTCTTGATCAAGAAAAACGAAAGGTCCACAGAATATAACTCTAGTGGTGGAAACGTTTGTGTATGTCAAAAGAAAGACTTTTGGGGGAAAAGAACGTTGAGGTATACATTATTCCTTCTGCTTCTGTCTCTTAGGTGTAGCCAGTTCAAAAGTGGCTCTATATCTTGTTGCAGAATTTAAGTGAAAAGAGACCATAGCAAAATCTATCTATAATGAACTTTATCATTTTTGAATCACTCAATATAACAGGGTATACAAGAAATGAGAGGTTATCACTGTAGTGAAATGTCCAGTAATATAAAGTACAATTTAATGAGTCCACATAAACTTACTTGTCCAATGGGACTTTAGCAAGCACAATGCAAGCACAGGCTTGATTAGCATTCGCACATTGGGTTTGTCCTCTTGCAATGCTTCCTTTTGAAACTCCAAGCTACCATGTTATGAGATCTGGCTACCTTGCTAAGAAATCATGTAAAGAGGGCACCTGGGTGGCTCAGTTGGTTAAGCAACTGCCTTCGGCTCAGGTCATGATCCTGGAGTCCCTGGATCGAGTCCCACATCGGGCTCCCTGCTCAGCAGGGAGTCTGCTTCTCCCTCTGACCCTCCCCCCCTCATGCTCTCTATCTCATTCTCTCTCTCAAATAAATAAATAAAATCTTAAAAAAAAAAAAATCATGTAAAGAGAAAGAGACATTGAGCCAGCTCCCCAGACGTTCCAGCTATAACTGAGACACCAGACATGTGAGTGAAGACTTCCTGGATTTCCAGCCCCAGTTGAGCTTCCAGATAAATGCAACTATGATTCACTCCAAGCAGGCCAAGCTGAAGAACTACTCAGCTGAGCCCAGCCAAGATCACAGAATATGAGCAAGTAAATGGTTTATTATGCTACAAAAGATAACTGGTAGACATTTCGATAAAGAGCTTACTCTGTGTGTGTGTGTGTATTTTAATTATTTCTCATATGACAGGTCTATGCAGGATATCAGGGGAAAAAATACTGTATAATGTTAGTTACAATCCAAATAATGAGAGCATCGCAAAACACTAGGTTAATTCAATGGATTTTTTTTATTCGAGTTACATATACACACCTCTGTAAAAAGACATGTTATTACAATAGATTGATATTACAACATAATAACAACATTCTCTATAGTATAATTTGTCCTGTTAGACATCTTATTTATGAAATCACTTGGTTGGTTATGAAATGCTACCAACTGTTAAAATAGAAGGAAAGTGCATCTTAAAACAAATGTTTTTGTATGTGGGACTAAGGTGGGTTGTTTTTAAAGACATATCATTTGGCTTCATTCATTTTTCTCTTTATAAACATTCATTCCTTTACCTTCATCCTTTTCAAAGGATTATTCAGCTCTCGCTGGAATGAAGCTGCTCTCCCTGAAAGGAAGGTCTGAAAGGCAACAGCCAACAAATTTTCGTACTTTTCAAGCAGAGTTTTATCTTCAGGAGGATAAATTCGTCTACAATAAATCAGATAAACCAACTAGTTTAAAAGAAGCTATTGCAGTGCAAGAGTTAAGTTCAATTACATAGATACTCCTTGACCATCTACTCTCTGCCAGTTACTTTACTAGGTGCTAGAAATAAAGATGAATGCAGTTATAAGAAATTCACACAAATTTTCATCAGTTACCTACACAAATTAAAGTTTATCTAGAGAATGGTCATTAAGCAATGAGGCTCCATAAATCATAGTGTAAGGGTTTGGTTGTGGAGCGGCGGTTGGAGAACTGCAATTGGGCATATTGAAGAAATATCTTCATGGGAGAGAGCAGGTGATGAGGGATAATCTGGAAGTGTGCAATTACGGTGTGGTTACTGACATATACAAGAATACAGGCGTTCATCTTGATATTCTCTTTTGGGGTGGTGGAATGTGCCTCTCCAAAGAAGAGAAGAGGGTAGAGGTAGAATGAGAAGAATGTGTTCTCAGAGTTGCTGTTGATGGTGTTAAGGCAGAAAAGAATGTTTTACCAGGGGTGTGAGAAGCTCTGTGGCCCTCAATCCTCCTAATTCTGTTAAGTTAACGTCAAGCTTAGGAAGAGGAGCAGTCTTTCCAAGAACACAAGGAATTTAGAGGGGGTGTCCTCTTTTATCCTGTCAAAGGATTCTATGGAGGGCTTCCAGTTCAACACAGTCCACACTCCTCTGTATTGCCTCATATCTGCCTCGTTCCTGATATATCTGAGTTTAAACAAAGTAGAGCAACCACTCTGAACTGACAGAAAGAAAACTAGGAGACCTACAGCCTGACTTTCTCAAAATACTACATTAAAAGTAAATAAGGTCACAGGAATAGTTTCAGATTTAAAAGATCTCATACAACCACCCATGAAGCTGGCTAGCAGGAATGAAATAAACAGTGCTCAAAATAAGTCTAAAAGGTTAAAAATGTAGAATAGTTGTTTTGACACTTCTTCAATCTATAAGAAAATGGAAGCACAGTTACCTATAATTCCCCATATGCCGATTTTCATGTTCTTCTTTTAAAATCTGCTTTCGTAATTGAGCAAGTCTCTCTTTCTAGAAATGAAGAAATTTTACAAATAAAATCTGACCAATGAATTATGCAATTCAAATTGTAGGTATATTGTTGAAATTTTCATACCAACTCTTCTTTCCGCCTCTCTAACTGATGTCTCTGCTGTTCCCAGTCTGAGGAACCTGGTAAGAGCCTTTTTATTGAATTTTGACCATAAAGCCTCCTTTGAGCTTCAGCTTTTTGTTTGGCCAAGTTTCTCCTTTTATCACTGGTCCTGAAATATAAAACACAGGAATTCAAATAAGCCCTGATCTTATCCCCGTGAGGAGAATTAGCAGAAGAGGAGACACAGTGGGGATATGAATCAATGTTTTATATATATATGTATATATATATTCACATACATCAAATTCATCTAATCATCCATCAAATATGGGTCTCCATATAGTAAACTGGAGGTTCCTTATTCCCAGGGGTTGTGATGGAATACTCTGAGCAATCTACACTCTTTTGGATTTTCTCGAGATTAAAAGTATATGCTTACAAAATGAACTTTGGGGTATATATGGAGCCATACTATAAGTAAAACATTGTATCAAGAATTGTGCAGACTTGAAAGACAAGTCTAACACATATATGCCCATGGAGCACTCCATCTTGATGGAGAGAAAAGGCACATCTATAATGTAAACTTCATTAGCATAAGTTTAAAATGTTAAGAATTGTATTAAATTCTCTTACTGGAACAACACTAAGAAAAATAAGGAAAATGAATTCCAACTTTCCTTTATTTTTAAGTCTAGAAATTTCTCACTATTTGAACTTTTAAGAAGACAAAAACACCCATAGATTATATCCTGAATTGGTTGGCAAAGACATGAAAAAACATAAGGCCTATTTACATAATAACAGTAAATGAAAAAAAATGTAGAGGTATACTGTTTGAGTAATCTAAAATATCTTATGCACTTGTGTAAGCCAAATAAACAAAAATTTCACTTTCTATATCTCTTCTATTCATTTCTTTTAGGATAATTGAAATGTCAGTTAAATCAGGGCAAATTGTTCTTTGATCAAGCAAAAGAAGGGGCCATATGAAAATTTCTTAACAAATTTATCTATCAAAAAAATAGGAAAAAAACAAATTCATGTATCGATCTCTTTTTTTAATAATGCTTTCCATATAAAGCTACTTCTCAAGCAGGCAACTGCTAAATGCGTGGAACCATTTAAAATAAATAAATCGCTTGGAAGCATCCTCCAACTCTTTTAGAGTTCTTTAAATGATGATTAGAATCAATTGAAATCATAAAATCCCTGGGCTTAAATGACCTCAGAGGTCCTTTAATCCAACACCCTAAACACTGTTTGAACATTTAACAATGGCAGATGACTCACTACTTCATTAAGCAGTTCAATTAAACTTCTAACAAATTTCTTTCATAATGAGCCAAAAGCTTCCCTACAAAACAGCATTTCAAATATTTGAGATCCATGATCATGTACACTGTAACCAGCCTAATAATATTCTGTTGATGCAGCAATCCCCTTTCCGAGTATATATTCAAAGGAGTTGAAATCAGGATGCAAAGATATATCTGCACTCCCATGCTCATTACAGTATTATTCACAATAGCCAAGCCATAGAAGCAAACTAAATGTTCATCAACAGATGAATGATAAAGAAAATGTGGTATATACATACAATGGAATATTATCCAGCCTTAAAAAAAAAAAAAAAAAAAAGAATTCCTTTTTTAACCCTGCCTTAACAACTACCTCTTTTTTCTGTTTACCCAGGCAGCATGATACAGTGGGAAGACCTCTGAACAGAAAGGTAGGAAATCCATGTGTTTGAGGGTTGTTGCTTTTTTTAACTTCCTGAATGAACCTCTGCTTTAGTTTCTTCTTGTAAGGTGAGGAAGATAATCTAGAGATTTTCCTCAAGTAGTCTCCAATTCAACCTTACACTCTATATTGAATAATTATACCAACACTCTTAACTATTTACTGTAGATTCAGAGCATGATATGGAGAGAAGGAAAAGCAGTTTGTAGGAGGAAAAGATATTTAAAAAGAAAACACTAAAAGGATTTGAAGAATGGAATCAAGAAATTCAAAATATAAAATATGAAAAAATTATAAGCCGATTCCATGTACAAGTGATTGTTCTATGCCAAAGGTGGTGAAAACCTTCTAAATGAGGGAGGAAATACTTTACCTGATGTTTAGTAGCTTTAGTGCATTTAGCAGCACTCCCCTTTTTACATCATAGTCTATTTTCTGATCAGTTCCAAAGCTTGGAGCACGATTAATCTGAAATTTACAAAGAAAACAATGAGAATAGCTAAATATTGGTAGGTTAATAAACATTCAATACATATTTGTTAAACTAATGCAAGATCCCCAACCAACAGAGAAACTCTACACTAAATCTCAAAGTTCTACATGATAGATGGCCCAGTTACCACTGCCACACCTCCCTTCCCCACCACCCTACGTCAAGGAGTCGCAAGGCACTGACTGCTGTCACTGCCCCCTTCTCCCTGCTGCCTTAGCTCAGGATCTCTGGTAAGCCTTTGTGCCCTCTCCCTCCTCTGCACCCTCTCCAACCCAACACCCTGCGCACTCTAGGTTTTAAGTTTAGGGAAGTTAAAAGTGACTCATCCTGACAAAAAGGTTAGAAGACCAGTATTAACCATAACAAGAATGATGCAACAAAAATAATATGCATGTTACCAATACAGTAATAATTAAATGCATTTATTTGGCATATAGAAACTATACCCTCTTTTCACTGCTTCAGATCTTCTGGATGGATTCATCTATTGCTGCCTAAAAAATAAATTATTTTCTTTCTACCTGGATCAAACAATAAATCATCAATTTTCATTTCCAAAGACACTGACTATATAACTCAGAAGATACCATTAAAGGTAGCTGCAGACTAACCTCTATGAGCTTCTCTAACTGCATTAGGACTCAGAGGAATAAAGGAGCCATTTGTGGGTGTTCTTCTTTCCAACATCATTTTCAGGATTTCATTAAGAGGAAAAATAAGAAGTAACAGTAACTGTATATGCCCTGAAATCCATTACACAATCTACGACCACCTCAAGAGCTGGAGTTTTTGTTTTTGTCTTTGTTGCTATGAAAATGTAACTGGAATAGCAAGTGTTTAAGAAAGTTAATTAATTCAGTTGGCTAGAACACTGCTGAGTTCAAAACTACAGCTTAGCTTCATGACCACGACCTAACCTCACAGCTTATCTCAAAAAAATATGATGCCACTGTCATAGAAGAGGGTTGTCTTATACAATCCCGTTCCACAAGAGACAAAATAACTGACAGTATGCATTTCACACCTGGCAGCTGTAAGAAATATAAATAAGTAGAAGTATGTACATAGAAGCTAAACAGACAACAAAAAGATCACCTGTATTCCCATTACCCAGTATACTGTTATCCATTTGATAAATGGTGTATTGCTAATCATTTGATAAATGATAAATATTTGCTATGCATACATATTTATAATATTTATTTTGTCTTCCAAATACATACCTTATACTAACAATATTATTCTATAATCCAAGTTTTTCTTTTAACGATACATCATGAAAATCTTTCATGTCATCATTTTGATGCATGGTACTCCATTTATAGAGATATGCCAAAGTATATTATGCTTTTGCTGATCTCTGATTTAGAAGGTGGTAGACATATTTCTGCCTATGTGATGTGGTCTCAAGGAGAAGGGAACAATTTGGTAACTGCAAGAACATCCATTTATTCCAGGCAAATTTTAAGAAAGGGAGTTTATTAATCTGCTACTTCAAAACTCTAAGTATGTCCTCTTACAAGTGCGAAGAAAGGGTACAGTAATATATTTTATATGAAAAATTTTAACCATTCCATACTGATTCAAATCTCTGCAATTTGTAATACAATTAACAATTGTTCTGCTGCTACATGGGACAGGATTATAAAATGAATCAGACATTTAGGAACCAATGACTAAGTGGTTCACTGAAATGTTATCTATCTTTATAGAATTCCTTAGGTGTTCCATTCTAAAATTGCCATCTGAAATTCTACCAGACATATCCGTCCTCTAGGATGGAAGTAACCTCAGACCCTCTCTTACCTATGTCAGAGTATTCCCTCTTTCATAAAAAAGAAATTGGGTCTATGGAGAAATGTACCCACACAAGATAAACTAATAAGTGAAAAGGTAGAAAAAAATTTTTTTCAATTCACATTTTAGATTTTTCAAAAGTTTTATGATAAAGACAGAAGAGACTCTGAAAATTCAGGTTCCATTCAGTCAAAATTCTACTCTGGGGTACCTGGGTGGCGCAATTGGTTAAGTGTTCAACTCTTGGCTTTGGCTCAGGTTGTACTCTCTCTCCCTTCCTCCTTTGCCCCTCCCCACTGCCTCTCTCTCAGAAATAAATAAATAACTCTTTAAAAAAATATATACTCTGTGATGTTGATGGCTTCTTTGGTTCTCATTTCCTACCCCAATTCTAGAACAAACAAAGCTCAGCAAATGTTAGAGTCTTAAAGTTCAGTAGCTTGTAAATGCATGCAAAAATGAAAACTACTAGAAGGCAAATTAAATTAATAAATACCATTTATTAACCAACCAAATCATAATTTTACTATCAAAACAAGCACAATCATTTCATGCACATATCAAAGTATCCATAATAGATTCTAGGCTCCCAAACTAGTGCTGTTCCCTTGGCCCAGTAACTTCTCCCCACCTAACCCCCATCTTTCCCAACCCCCAGTCCCCACCACACCTTCCACAGGCTTAAACACTCTGCTCAGGTGTTCCCTCCTCTGCAAAGATTTTTTTAACTGTCAAATACACACATGTACACAGAAAGATTAATCACTCTATTGCTTGTGCTGGTAACCCCGTTCCCTACTTATACTTTTAACTATTACCATAAGACACATATCTGAGTTCGCACTCAACCACGGTAAGTATTCTGTCTTCTTGGATCTCCATCCCCTGACACAATGACTTGTTGAAATTAATTCAAGGGTAATTAAATTATTAGCAGCAAATTCATATCCTACCCAATTTCCATATTTTTCCCGAAAAAGGTTTCTGTGCTTGAAAATTTCTGCAATTTTGCCACTATGAATCAGTACCTGCAATTATTCCAGTTAACTAAAAGTTATCATATTCTCAGATGCACCTTCTATCTTATTCCACTTGATGGTGCCAAAAGGTTTTTAACCAACATATGTTAGAACCACTACAATTGCAGCTGGGAGAAAACACAAAGAAGCAAGATCTAAATAAGATTCTTTTAATTGTTTTAATATAATAAATGTTCATTACCCATAGCTGTTGGTTACTCTAAAGTTTTTGTAATGGTTCTGACTGATCTGGAAATGATGAAGAAATGAATCGAAAATGAAAATATGTTAATGCAAATAATGTTATTTAGCTGTTGATTATTGTCAAGGTTTTTAATGGTTATTGACCTGGACATGATGAAAAAGAGAATAAAGTATGAAGAAACATTAATGCAAACAATGGTGTTTTGAGCCTTTAAAAAAATACAGAATTCAACCATTCAGTCAATTCTGATTTACCAAGATCATACAAAGCTCATTAGACAAATGCTCTTAAAAACAGGTAATTATCTATAGTCCTTATTCCCTGCTCTACTTTCAGTTCCACCTCAGGCATGTGCCTTCACTTCTTCCCAACCCCATCAAAGATAAGAGACAAGCAGCAGGAGCAGGAAAAAAAATACAGTTAAGAATAGGAAAGGATAATTGCAGACAAAGTAGGAAACCTAAGGAAGAAAATGTCAGGCCCTAGTAAGATGCAGAGTCAAATGCTTTCATATACATGTAATGAAGGAAGCAAAAAGATAAGCAAAATTCCTCATATTTATCTTATTTCTAGGACCCAGGCAAGAGCAAAATTTGAACATCTGACATCTGTATTTGATTGGAAATATAATATACATTCCTGGCACATAGGAGATTGAACACACACACACACACACACACACACACACCGTTAGCCCTCAAATTGGAAAAGTATTCTTTCCTGAAAATATACTTTGAATGTCTTATCTATCCTCATTCAATTTGCTTTTTCAAGTTACAGATGGAACTTCCAACTTCAAAATCATTAACAAGAAAAGAGATGATCAACTTAAAATGAAAGGTACTTGTTGATTGTACCTTCTATAGCAATATGTTCCAAAATGTAACTAATCTAGTAAACAATGGTGTTTGGGTATGTGCTATTTTCCTGATAAAGTTTCCTAAACACAGTGCTCTGTGCCCATGCACTCTATGACTCCAGATCAGGGGTCTGAGAGGAAATTGCTGAATGGGGTAGTATAGGACCACATGACATCTAAATTTTCTTCTGGATGTAAAACAAACATGACTGGAAGGAAAGGTACAAAAATCTTAAACAGAGACTATTTCTATTTTTCCCTTATATCATTTCATTTTTTCCTAATATTAAGTGATCTTTTATAATGACAGAAAAATAATGATGACTCTGACCATACCAGGGACTGGCAGCACACCCAAAGGCACACAGTTAACAGGCTGGACATGAGGGGAGCCCCAGGCGTATTATATGGCCTTCAGGGAGAATCCACGTCAGCTGGGGTATGAGGTACTGAATACTGATTAGTGAACCAATCGGAGCCTCTCCTTGGAGAGACTGAATGGGAACCCAGTGAAGACAAGGAGGCTGTGGTCCTGAAGCCCAGGCACCCACACAGAGGAAAGACAACATCCAGAAGTCATGAAGTGGTAGAGGCCGTGAGGCTGGGAAAATAGTGGAGGAAGTAGATAACACATCAATAAAAGCAGATGCATGCATATATTCGAAATTCCTGGCCTAGAGAGTCACCCGACATTAGTTTGGGGAAAGTAATATCAAACATGTTTTGGTCCATTCCTGGAACTGTTCTATTCTCTGAATTTTTTGTTCTCTTCCTCCCACATGCTCCATTCAGGCCTCTTTCTGCTCAGTTAATGAGCCAACTGTGCCAAGTACACTTTAAAAAACATTTGTTTTCGTGCACAAGAACAGTAGTAACTTCTCTTTCTTCTTAAAAGAAATGCCTTACCTCCAGAAGCCATGGCTTTAGTTTTCTGTCCAACAAGATATCAAATCCCAGGACTTCGAAACAGACACTTTCACTTCCTGGAGGTTGACCAGGTCTGCACATTCGATAGGCATGCAGGACATGAGGCTCTGCTACAATCAAAGTCTTTACAACCAACTCCTGCACATACAGTGATTTAAAAAAAAAAAAAAGTGAAGATGCCTTACAAAACAAGTTTACATATATGGAAATAAGGCCTGGACTTACAAACAGCACGCTGGCCAAGTTCCCAAAGCTCTACAGCATGCGGCCCCGGCCACTACTCTGATTCCACTGCACGCCACTCCTGCCCTGCTCATTACACTCCGGCCACGCTTGCCGGCTTAGGGCCCCTGGCGGTAACTGTTCCCTCCTTCTGGAACACTCTTCCCGATACTCCCGTGCCCGGCCTTGATATTCAGAGAGGCCTTCCCTGACACTGCAGTCAAGTGTAGCCGCCACCACCCCCTACTGAGCACTTCGTACAACGTAGAATCGGCTCATCTTTCCCTTTTGTGAGGGCCGTGTCCTCGTGCCTACACTAGCGCCTGCCATTTAGGAGACGCTCAAAAATATCTGTGAATAAGTAAAATAAAAGTTGTTAAATGTGGCTTCTATCCATCATAAGATCATATGCTAGCCTTCTCAGAAACCATACAGAAGGGTTTAGGAGTGACAGGGAAGAAAAATTCCAAGGAGAGGAAACTATTTCACAAACAGCATAGAACTTCCACTTAGACGAAAGCTGGAAGGGTGGGACAGAATCTAGGATGGGTGGGCTTCTTCATGTGGTGGTGATTTGGCTTTTCATAAGGTTTACCTGAGACGAGTCCTGCCGATTACATAAATAGCTGTCAACGCTTTCTGTGAGGACACACAATACTACTAGAGTGAGTTACTAACACTCATAAAACAAAAAGTTGGTTTACTGAAGTTGAAGAACAAGTTACGGATTGTGGAAAAGCTGTCTTGCAGGGTTTTTTTTGCTTAGAATATATTGTCTTTTTAAGTCCCTCTCTACCAGTATAGGCAATATAGCATGGCAGTTAAGAAGCTGGCTCTAACATCAGGCTTTCTGAGTTTATTCCTGGCTTTGCTACTTGCCAGATGTATAACCTCAGTTACGTTGCTTAAACTTCGTGAGTCTCACTTTCCCCAAAGGTAAAGGGGAAACAGTAACACCTACTGCAAAAGACTGATGTAAGGACAAAATGAGACTCCAATGTGAAACTCTCAGCATAGTGCCTAGAACAGAGTAAACCTTCAATAAGTGTTAACTACTACTATTGTTATAGTCATTCTGTCGTTCCTCCAGAACCCCAGCTCCTATGTCAGATCAGAAACAAACATTCCACTACCTGGTGGGAGCAATATTCACAATATGGGAGAAAAAAATGAGAGACAGAAATTAACCTTGCTGTTACCCAGAATCCCAACCCAGATCATATTTGGGGTAAGTATCAGAGATGCCATGAGAGGTTGTTCCACAAAATTTTAATCAAAATAAAAAATTGACAGTAACACTAAAGGATATAAAGATAAAAGCCAAAAAACCACTTCATATAAGTCTTTGGATATATCAGTGAAGCCACAGGAGAATAGGAGAAAAAAGGTTAAAACCTTGGCTAATAAGTGTTTGCATGAAACAACTCAGGCAGGATGGGCAGAGTGAATATTAATAAACCCTGAATTACAAATCTGTGTTTTTTCTACATAAAACACACATCTGTCTGTAAGGAATGCAAAGGCAAGACTGCGGGTATACGTGAAAATCAGGAGTGCTATAACCAAACACGAATCTAATTCCACTAATGCTTTTGAGAATTTCCAACCTAGTGTCATTGCTTTGAAATATGATTTGTAGATTTGTACATATATGTAAGTATATAAAAAGCATTCAGGGGTGCCTGGGTGGCTCAGTCATTAAGCGTCTGCCTTCAGCTTAGGTCATGATCCCAGGGTCCTGGGATGGAGCCCAACATTGGGCTCCCTGCTCAGCGGGAAGCCTGCCTCTCCCTCTCCCACTCCCCCTGCTTGTGTTCTCTCACTCACTGTGTCTCTCTCTCTCTGTCAAATAAATAAATAAAATTAAAAAAAAAAACATTCAGTAAGGATGATTTTATGAGTGATTACAAAGGTTGTAATCTCTGTGGCTTGATTTTCTATTAATTTCTTATTCATTCTTGACCTCCACAAAAGTATGCATCTCTGTGCTATATAGGGCATACTACTGTATGTTAGTTTTCATAAAGAGACAGTCACTTTTTAGAGAAATTACTCCTCCAAAAAAAGTCATTAGGAAAGAAGTCCTAAGTTAAATTCATGAAATTTGCAAACTATGACATTAAGATAAAAATTTACTGATTGACCACCTTCTGTACCTCCTCCTGTTTTTATAATACATTATTTCATTAACTCATCTTAAACAGATATCTTTATATGCAATTCTTAATAAAGATAAATATAATTATAAAACATGTGCTTGGAAAAGTTAATAACTTATTAAGTATTAACTCATTGCTTACTTATTTGTAGATTGTTATTATACATTTTAACTTATGTAGGCAAGAATGATGCAAAATTTACCCATTTATAGAAGGGATCATAAATGTTTCAGAGCTTAATAGGTGCACACTGCCCATATTAAAGTTACATATGAGAATTATATTTTTTACTCTAACAGAAAGGTTCATTTCCAGACCTTCTTATTAACATTAGTCTTACTTCTATGCCTTCTCCTAATTTAATTATATAGGGAAAGTACCACTTAAAGCCAATTTTTCTCTCTAATTGAGTCTCTCTACACATTCTTCACCAAGGCAGTCCAAGAAGTTCCACCTTTCCACGACTTCTCTGAAGAAGTGAAAAACCAGATGGAAGTGAAAAATTTGGTAAAGAAAAAGGAATATCACAGGGCATAGAAAACTTTCTTGTTCTCACTGAGCTACTCATCAAATGATCCATTCATTAAATCACCCAGGTATCATCATGAATGATCTTCCATCAGTGAGCTATTGCCCCAAAATAACAAATTTTCACCCCTTCAATGCATCTAACCTGCTATGATAATAAACTATCATTATTAAAATATTTCTTTGAATTTCTGTAAAATTGGCATTGGTAGAATAAATAAGTAGATAAATAAACACAGCATTATTGTAATCAAAGTTCTTGTTTGGATGTATTTAGGCTATCAGGAAGATAGGATAGAAAGTTAACAAGTTGGTGGGCCTTTTACAAAGTCCAGTTGACAAACATTTTTGCTGGAGCCCCTGAATTTCTAAAAAGTTTTGAATGTGTTGCCAATATTTATAAATCAAGAGACTTAGAGCTTCCACTGACAAATTAGAAGAATGAGCCATACTGGGCCCAAAATACCATGGGGCACCAAAAGACTGGTGCTGAGTAGTGTCCACCCCTTCAGATGTCTTATGCTTTTCAAACTACCACAGTTCCCAGCATACCCTATTTACATCTATCCAGACAATTTCACTCCTTTTTACTTGTCTAACACCAAGGGTCTCTGGATTTACATTCTGTGATATAGAAAATAATGTGTAAAAAATACCAACCAACAAAACAACAAAAGGATAAATATAATGATGCTGATTTTTCTGATTTTCTCAAGAGAATCAAATTCAACTATGAACTTTCATGTCCATTTTCCAAGGTAGATTTATTTAAATTATATAGTATTTGTCCCGAAAGGAAAGCTAAATCATATTGCATAGTCTTATCATATTAAATCCTCTTCTAACTTTGAATACCATTGTGATACTTCTGCTAAGATTAATAAAGGGTCGGTTTCACTGAGGTTAGCTTCTCAGATCTGCTTCCTTTTCTCTCTTTACCCTTATCATTTGCCATGCCATCCACTGACATGGCTTTAATCATCAATCATACCCCAAACATATACTTTTAACTGCCTGCTTGATCTTTCTACCTGAGAAAACATTTTAAGTTCAATTAATCTCTAGTAGAACTCATTATCATAGCCTCATGACCTTTTAACAATTTAGTTCAGGTGTCAATGCCTCCAGAAAGCCCTCCTCCAATCTCCACCCATAGAAAGCTACTATATGTGGCCTTCCTCTACATTCCCACAGAATCCAGGGCATGGCTCTGTTGTTGTATGTGCTAACTTACATTTTATTAACAAATTCTGTGTGGGTCTTTCCTACCAAACTCTAAGTTTTTTGAGGATTGGAGCTGTATCTTATAAAAATCTTCAGATTATCAGCCAGAAACAAGCATATATTATGGGTTCATTAAATGTTTACTGAATGACTGAATGAAATGAATGAATAGAACTCTTCACCCTCACCTATAAAACCAGACTCTAGATCTTCTCAAAATAAATTCCTTTCTACTCTATTTCAGATAAAGCCAAACCCAATTCTCCCTATAATTCCTCCTTAAAACTGCAGAGGAATGTCTGAATACTTTCTCCCTGATTTTGGACATTCAGTTAACTTCAATGCTGACCTCACTGTCACCTCTTCTACTGTGGTTCATTTCAGGCCATTCTTTTCACTTAAACTACCTCTAGGTGCCTTCCTCTACCTAGTCTTGGTCTGTACTGTACCCACTTTCTGATTTATCTCTTAAATTCATAGTCTTTGGCCTTATTACTTTCCTCCTTTAAAATCTGGAAGGACTGAATCCTTACTGCCTATCAAGCTAAGCCTTGATTTTCAGACCTAAAATTTTGCCTCCACATATCTTTTCAGCCATAAGTCCCCAAAAAATTCTCAAAAATACCATATGTGCCAACCTGGGCCACTTATCACTATTTTCATACATCTATGCCTTTACTTATGCTGTTGTTTGCACCTAGAACACCCTCTCTCCCATCCCTAGCAGTAAAAATACTGCTTACCAAGGTCTGTCACAGTTCCCAGTTCCTTCATGAAAATAATGTATTTGCCCAATCTAATGTAATCTGCTCTTTATTTAAAATGCTGATGATCCTTTAAATTAATCTGAGGAAAGACAGTTATAATTGTGAAAATGGTATAATCTTACTGAAATATCACTCCAAAACTTAGCAACATCATGTTGATTTGCTTGTAGGAATTCTGTAAACCACTTGATGGAACGTTTGCTCCCTTTGTTTTCAGTCTCATCCCTTTCAAAATGCTCATTGTGCTTGTTCACAGAGTAGTTAGTTAGATGCATGTATAACTGGGTCTGTAACAAGTAAGAACGAAAGTTATCATCTATGAGACTCTAGAACTATGAGGTTTCACAGAACATAAAGCAACCAAAGATGAAAGATAATTTTAAAGTTTAAAATATACAGATCGACAATTTCATCATGATTTAGATAATTTTCAAATTAAATGGAATGGCACATTTCCAATAAAAGGATTACAAATGTAATCATCTACAAAGTTACTTTATATATTATTCAAAATATATCTACTATAGAAAGCATTAAAATAATTGCATGAAACTGTGAAATTACACCCTGCTAAGCAAGAAAAACACTGCTTGTTTTTGTTAATTTGTTTTTAATGTTTTTAGTGACAGTTCTCAGCCAAATTTGTTTTGGGAAGAAAATTTTCTGAGAGAGCATTCTATGTTTTTTCAAAGAAAAGTAAAAAATGATATCTCAAGTAAGTAGCATAAATCAAAAGGCAGGACTACCAAACACAACCTCTGCCTCCGATAGGGACTGGGAGGCCACTTGAACTCATTCACAAGACAGAGCGCAGTTCGAATCGGCAGACAGAAGCACCACACATGCTGTACAGAGTCTAAATGATTAAATTAACAGGAAATTTACAGTACTCCTTATTGGAGCTGTTATGCCTTAGTCTCTTTACACTTTTACATTTGTTGATACTGTTATCCTCAAATAACTTGAAACAGAATCCAAAATTTTAATCCTCTCGTAATTGTCAACTAATATACAGCTAATGATTCCTTATCAATCTAGCATAAACATTCATCAAACCTATATATCCTACCCTTGTGATCCTATTCCCAGAAATTAGAGAGCAATGTTGCATCCCAATGAATATGTACTTCATGTACATGATTACTATTTATGTGTGTTAATAACCAAGTATATCTGTATCATATCTTATTTTCACTGCAGTTACTTAGTTCTACAGTATAAAATCTTTGAAGTAAATGTGCAGAAGTGATCATTTGAGTTACGTGTTGTTTACGAACCCATGTGCCCATCACTAATTAAGAATTTATTTTTTCATTCATTAAACAATATTTAAGGAGCACCTACTTACTGTCTGCAGAACTGGTACTGGGCACTGTGGATACATAGATAAACAAGATAGAGTCCCTACCCTAATGAAACTTAGAAAAAGCTTTAAATTAAGTGATATTTAAAAGAAAGAACATAAATCTTATGCTTGTCTAATTCTAAGTGCTTGATCTGAAGAAAAAGGAAATTAATCAAACTATAGCATTTCCTAGTTTCCAAAATACAAATCATTTTTCAATTTAAAAAGAGTTGGAAAATAATTTATTGAGGAGCTCTCCATTTGGCAAGAATTTCTAAAAATAAATAATAATAGCAGTAATAAAAACCCTAGCTATCCTAGTGAAAAAGTGAGTAAGAAATGGAACTGTGCATTTTTCTTAAAACAGTATCTTTGCAAGTAGGACTGGAAATTCCAGTTTCACATCTAGCTCAACAAAAATCCCCTTCTAAGCAGTTCATTGCCAGCTGGACATTGGCCATAAGCAGTGAAGACAGCTATAAACCAAACAGCAACCTGCAAGGAATGAAAAGTATATAACTATTCTCCGCCCTATTTTTTAGCATATAAGCTCAATACAATGAATTGGGTTATATAAAACTTTTCAAGAACTGGCCAGCTGCTACACTGGTAGCAAAAAATAAATGGCTATTATATTTCAATGCCTGAAATTCTCTGTCTTATGATGTTCTTATACGTAGCTTACCAATACCAGCTTTTCACAAAATACATGCTCACTATTTTAAAAATTGGAAACAGGAAGAAAGAAACAAATATGCAATAGTATGCCATCCAAAACCAACCAGTGAGAGCATTTTGATTTATTTTTTTCCAGCCTTTTTTTCTTAAGTTTAACTTTTACATAACTGTGATCTCACTTCAGATAAAATTTTATATATATATATACATATATATATGTATATATATATTTTTTTACTCTTTCATATCTTAATCTAGGAATTTGATTGTGGAGTTGAAAAAGGTGAACTTTTAAATTTTAGAGATATGTAAGGAACACTGACACTTATATAGGAGAAGATCATTCTTTGTACATGTGAACCAAAGACACAAGATTACGTGATTCAAAAGCACTTGGCAAAGTGAGACCTAGAGGTTACGTTTCCTGACTCCCAAACTTTCCTTATGATTTCCTAATCCAGTGTATTTAAGCAAATATCACATACATATAATTTAAGATATTAAAATAAATCACTTAAATGAGCTTACAAGTCTTATCCTTTCCTATGTTTTCCCTAACTCTTTTCTCTCAAAACATGACTATCTGCCTTACAATGTATTATAACCCATTCTTATCCACACCAATTATTTTAATTATAATCTAAGAGCTGACAAGTCTCAAATTAGGTCTGTAGCTTGGTTCTCTCATCTGAACTCCAGACCTATGCTATACATCCAAATGCTTATAGCATAGATGCTGCACAGGTATGTCAAACCAAACACACCAGCTTCCTGCAAGACCTTTAACAGCCCCTATATTTCCTATCACGGTGAATGATACATCATCCACCCAACTGGCCAATGCCAAAATTCTTGAGTTTTATCCTCAATTTCTCTCTCCTTTTCCCTCGTTCTATAAATCCAACCTGTCAGTATATCAATGTTATCCACGTTACCATAAATATATCTTAAATCTATGTTCTTATTCTTAGTATAGTCCTATTGCTACTACTTCAGATAAGGCCATCTTTCCTCTCACATGTGGTTAGACTAGAAAACAGCTTCTCCCTTACCCTCACTTCTCCCATTCATCTACAACTACAGCCATCTCTCACATTCCCCACATACAGACCAGGTGACCTTTTTAAGACAAAAATCTCATTCCTTCTTTAAAATCTTTCAATGCTTCCCTTCTTCTTAGGTTAAATTCCAAAATCCTAGACATGGCCTAAAAAGCCCTGAAGCATCTGTCCTCTAGGCTCTTCATCCTCATCTCTGAATACCCACCCCTTCATGGTCTGTATTTAGCCATATTGAATATGAGTGCTTTCTCCAGACACACAGTAACTCTGGGCCATTTTTCTCTATAGATTTCCACCCCACCCTGCCCTGCCCCCAACCTGGCTAACCCTCCATTATTCATATTTCACTTTACAAACTCCCTCTCTAAACTCTATCTCCAGCTGGGTTAGATGCCCTTGCTATGCACTGCCATAGCACTCTCCGTGTCTTAGACCATTACACTTACCATCAGGTATTATAATTGCTTATTATATTTTCTGCCTCCCCACTAGACTGTTGCTTTTGAGAGGTCAAGCACTGTAGCTGTCTTGGTCACTGTTTTTCCAAAACCAGCACAATGCATAGAATGCAGTAGAGTTCAAATATTACTTGGTGATTGGATACATTCACACCTTATGACCTTCAAAGAGATGATTCTTTCCTTTATCTTCCTTTCCAGTGAAAACTTTTACAGTTCCCTTATTCTTCCTTTGCCAGGTTTACAATATTTTTCATTAATTGAACATAGTAACATTTATGAACAGTCATTATGTAATTTTTAAAATATGACCACTTTTAGTGCAGATAATTGTGTGCATAACACTGGAGGAGAACAATAACCAGGCTTTTGACAAAATGGAAAATAATAATTAATTATAATTTTTACTATAATTAGTAGGTCCAAAAATAGGGTAGAGGTTAACTAAACTTTTAAGTATGGATAATAAAGTTTGTGACTCTCATGATAAATTACGATAATAAATTACAGTTTGACCTTCATAAACCATAAACTGCAGTTATGACTTTCAGCAATGAGTTATGGCTGCATAAAGGAAATCTTAATGGAAAAATATCTACAGAAAGCTCCATTTAATAGATTTTAAAATACACACTGAAACTACCAATTTATGTCTCTACTTTACATTTGGTCAGTGTAAATTTACCATCTTTTCTTTTGTGCAAAGTAACAAATTAATAACTCTACTTTCTGATAACTCTCACTTTCTCTGTTTCAAATACTTTCTCCCACATCCTACATGTTAAACCATACCTGTCATATAAAGCTTGCTCAAATACCACCTCCTCCATGAGAAGCTAAACATAAACTATCCCTACACTCAACTCCATGACACTCTGTCTGTACTTCTCAATGAGATATTATTTTTATTTACATTTCTAAATAAATCATTTCCATCCAGGGCCAAAGAATATACACATGTGCTTTGAAATCCATTTCTATATAGGGCCACTGTATACACATGTGTACATGTCATTTCTATGCAAGGCCACTGCATACACACGTGCTTTGAAAGCCATCCTTGTGCTCACAGCACCCAAAGGGAGTGCCTTCTCCTAATTAGCCTGCTGGAGGAGACACCTTTTTTTTTCTAATTTTCACAAATCTTTCTATAAATTAGAAGCAGTCTTGTTTATGTACACAATTCCTGACTATAAAAACCTGATAAAGAGGTACTGTGATTCATATAATCTTTACACACAATGCATGCTCTAAAAAGTACAAGCTGAACAAATGAATAAAACCATAGATTCTGTCTGGTATCACTTACCAAATTAGACTCATTAGGTGGAATGTATTTCTCTGTTCCCATTCGCACAAGTCCATCATGGTAGAGAAATATTTTCAGTGGATCACACGATGTCACCAGAATATAAATTCGTAAATCAAACTTGTAACCTTCCATTAGGAAAGGCTTTTCGATGTATTCTTGAACAATCAAATGATCCTGAGATGGAAGTTTGTCACCATTTCTTATCAAAGAAATCCTAAGTTAAAAAAAAAAAGAATTAGGGCACCTGGGTGGCTCAGTCGTTAAGCGTCTGCCTTCGGCTCAGGTCATGGTCCCAGAGTCCTGGGATTGAGGCCCACATCGGGCTCCCCACTCAGTGGGAAGCCTGCTTCTCCCTCTCCCACTCCTTCTGCTAGTGTTCCCTCTCTTACTGTGCCTCTCTCTATCAAATAAATAAATAAAATCTTTAAAAAAAAAGGTAACTTCCTTTAAAAAAAAAAGAAAGAAATAAATGACTAATTTGAAATGGGGTCAAGATGTTTACAAAGTTACACATAATACTCAAGAGGAAAATGGTGGAGTAGGGAACTCCAAAGTCTGTCCCTCCACAAATGCAATAAACAGCCAAAAAATTGTCAGAATCAACTTTTTTGGAAACCTAGAAACTGACCAAAAGTTTGTAACAACCAGAGAACACTTAATCAAAAAAAAAAAAAAAAGCCTAATCTATGCAAAAGAGCTTTGTGGCATTTTAACTTACTCTGGTCCCATCCCCCAACCTCAACTTATCAATGGCCTTGGACAACAGCCCATGTTCCCAGTACAGGTCCTGGTTCTGGAGGGAGCAGAATAGACCTTATTCTTGTGTTAGTTTTGTTGTTGTTATTGTTGTTGTTTTACCTGTCTGGTGGCTCCCTGAAGGAACTCAAGGACTGCTCTTATCTTGCCTAATTAGGAACTCTCCTAGTGTTGAGGCAGCTACTTGGCGGGGGGGGGGGGGGGGGGGGTTGTTGAAAACATTTAAAGACAAATGCATTAGTTCCCGCTGCCTATGACAACCAATAAAGGTTGGGGAAAACAATATACTAACCAAAAATATTGGGAAGAAAAACTGAAGTATGAGAATCTTTGGGAAATAAAAGCTTTGAAAAACTCAGACATATTTCTGGAAATCTAGAATGCCATGTGCATGCCCAAGGCTAAGTGCATGCTCAGGAAAGACTTGAAAGGCCCTACCTAAGCTCTTACCTCTGACTAACCATGAGGCTCTGCACAAGCAGGAAATGAAGAGTAGGGCAGAGTCTTAAACTGCCCGTAGGGACTGGAGGAGATTATGCTAACTGAAATAAGTCAAGCAGAGAAAGTCAATTATCATATGGTTTCACTTATTTGTGGAACATAAGGAATAGCATGGAGGACATTAGGAGAAGGAAGGGAAAAATGAAGGGGGCAAAATCGATGGGGAGATGAACCATGAAAGACTATGGACTCCGAGAAACAAACTGAAGGTTTTAGAAGGGAGGGGGGTAGGGGATGGGTTAGACTGGTGATGGGTATTAAGGAGGGCACGTATTGCACGGAGCACTGGGTGTTATACGAAAACAATGAATCATGGAACACAACATCAAAAACTAATGATGTACTGTATGGTGACTAACATAACATAGTAAAATTAAATTAAATAAAAAAATAAACTGCCTAGTTGAGTGTTCAAGGCATGTTCCAACATACACATACACCCCTTCTGCAAGGACTGGGAGTTTGGGTTTGGGGGAGGTTTTCTTGTTTTATTTTGTTTTGTTTTGTTTTGTTGGTTGCAAATCTCTGTCCACTTACTAGCTGAGCACTGACCCAACAGAACAGGAACTTGAGTGCCACACACAACAAAAAATATAGACTTCACAAAATTATTTCAGAAAGATCACTAAACAAATAAAGAGCAACCATAGCAAGCAGCAACAAAAAACCTTGTAGGGGGGGAGAATCTGATTTCCAGAGTTGCTACATTATAACATTCAAAATGTCTGGCTTTCAACAAAAAATTATGAGTCATGCAAAGAAAAAAGAAAGTATGACACATACACAGGAAAGTTACCAATTAATTGAAAGACAGACATTGGGCTTACTACACAATCAATTATTTAGATCAACTGTTTTAAATCTGTTCAAAGAGTTAGAGGAAACCATATGGAGAGAACTGAAGGAAACCATGAAAATGATATCTCCCCAAATAGAGAATATCAATAGAGATAGAAGTTTTTGTTATTGTTGTTGTTGTTGTTGTTTTTAAGAAGAGTGGAGGGACCCAAACTGAAATTCTGGAGTTAAAAATACACAATAACTGCAACAAAAAATTCATTAGAGAGGCTAAACAGAAGATTTAAGAAGTCAGAAAAAAAATTAATGAACTTGAAGGTAGGTCAATTGAGAATGACTAGTCTGAGGAACAGAAAGAAAAAAGAATGAAGAAAAATGAACAGAGCTTAAGAGTCCTGTGGGACACCATTAAGAATACCAACATACACATAATGGGAATCTCAAAAGGAGAGGAGAGAGAGAAAGGGACAGAAAGAATATTTGAAGAATGGCTGAAAACTTTCCAATTTGATGAAAAACATTAACTATATATCCAAAGAACTCAATGAACTCCAAGTAGGATAAATTCAAAGAGATCCACATTGAGACATATTATGCTAAAACTGTCAAAAGCCAAGACAATCTTGAAAGCTACTTATCACACCCTATGGATCCTCAATAAGATAAATAGCTGATTTCTCATCAGAAACAATGGAGACCAAAGGCAGTGAGATGGTATATTCAAAGTGTTGACAGAAAGACAGAGGAAAAAAAACAAAACAAAACCTGCTAGCTCATAATTTTATATCTGGCAAAAGTATTCAAAACTAAAGGAGAAATTAAGATATTCCCAGATAAAAACTGATAGTTTGTTGCTAGTATAGTTGGCCTATAAGAAATGCTAAAGAGTATTCTTCTGACTGAAATGAAAGGACACTAGAGAGTAACTCAAATCCACACAAAGAAATAAAAAACACCAGATAAAGGTGACTACATAAGTAAATATGAAAGTCACTATTAATGTAGTTTAGATTTGTAACTATGCTTTTTTCCTATATTATTTAAAATACAACTGCATTAAACAATAATTATAAATTTATGTTGATGGGTACACAATGTATGAAAATGTAATTTGTAACAATAATAATATAAAGAGGGACAGAGCTATATAGAAGCAAGGTGAGGTTTTTGTTTTGTTTTTGTTTTTGTTTTACTATTGAAACTAAGTTGATATTAATCTAAACAAGATTATTATAAATTGAGGTGTTCAATATAATCCCAGGGAAACCATTAAAAATAAAAAAAAACTCCTATACAGATTCAAAGGGGTACATGCACCCTGATATTTTTATAGCAGCATCATCAACAATAGCAAACTGTGGAAAGAGCCCAAGTGTCCACTGACTGATGAATGGATAAAGAAGATGTGGTGTGTATATATGGTGTATATATATGCGATGGAAAATTACTCAGCCATCAAAAAGAATGAAATCTTGCCATTTGCAGGGAAGTAAATAGAGCAAGAGTGTATTATGTTAAATGAAATAAGTCAGTCAGAGAAAGACAAATACCATATGATTTCATTCATATGGGAATTTAGAAAACAAAAGAGATGAACATGTGTGAAGTGGAAAAGAAAGAGAGAAGGAGAGAGGGGGAGGCAAACCATAAGAGACTCTTAACAATAGAGGACAAACTGAGGGTTGATGGAGGGAGATGGGTGGGGGATGAGCTAAATGGATGATGGGTATTAAGGATGGCACTTGTTATGATGAGCACTGGGTGTTGTATGTAAGTGATGAGTCAATAAATTCTATTCCTGAAAAAAATAATAATTAATAAAATTTTTTAAAAACTCACAAATATATAGTAAAAGAAAATTAAAATGGCACATAAGAAAATATCTAATATACAAGAGAGTAGAAAAGGAGGAATTGAGGAATGAAAACTATATTAAGACATGGAAAACAAATAGCAAAATGGCTGAAGTCTTTCCTTATCAATAATTACAAATGGATTAACTCTCCAACTAAGACAAGCATTGGCAGAATGAAAAAAAAAAAACCATGGTCCAATCACACATTGTCTACAAGAGATTCACTTTAGATTCAAAGATCCAAATAACCTGAAAGTGAACAAATGGAAAAGATATTCCATGCCAAAAGTAACAAAAGGAGAACTGGAGTGGTAAACTAGTATTACACAAAATAGACTTTAAGAGAAAAATTGTTACAAGAGACAAGGACAATATGTAATGATAAAATGATAAATCAAAAGATTAAAATAACATATGTGTTTTTATTAAAAGCAGTTTCGGGACATCTGGGTGGCTCAGTCGGTTAAGTGTCTGCCTTTGGCTCAGGTCATGATCCTGGGGTCCTGGGATCGAGTCCCGCATCAGGCCCTTGCTCAGCAGGGACCTGCTCCTCCATCTGCCTGCCACTTCCCCTGCTTGTACGCCTTCTCTCTCTCTCTCTCTCTCTCTGACAAATATATAAATAAAATCTTTAAAAATAAAAAAATAAAAGCAGCCTCAGCCACATTTTCTCTGAAAATGTACATTGCAGAAAACGAACATTAGAAAGCAAAAGGACACAGGAATATTAAGTTGTGTAATCTATGTTCAGCTAACACTAGACTAGTTTGTGGTACTTTAGCTTAAAATGTGTTTTACTCATTCTCAATTCAATCACCATGGCTCCATAAAGAAAAAAAACTTATATGTAAAGCAAAGAGAATATACTTATCTTGCTTTAAATTTCTAGCTATTGAAAGAGTAACTACCTTACCATTTTTTTCTCCAAGTCAATTTAGCTCTACCATATCAACTTAATTTTACCCTCCAAGCTTACTCTAAAATTATTATAAATACAAATTTTATGTTTAAGAAAAATTAGAAAACATTTTTTTTTTGTTTTGTTGTCTCCTACTAAAGTCTTTCAACTGATTTAATCTTTAAATTCAATAACTGAAGCCTGTGGGACAGGGTAAAATGGCTCAATAAATATTTAGTTCCAAAAAAGCAATAGAGACCCATTTTATTATTTTTTTCGTATTCAACCATGAGTGAATGCTCACATTTATTCTTTTTGCCCAATTTTTTTTAAAACTTTTATATGTTCTAGGTGAAAAATACCTACCCATGACCCATTGCACCATTAGCTGGTTTTACTATAAAAGTTTTCTGCTTTCTTTTTTTCTTCAATTCTTTCATGTAGTTCTGGAATTGCGTATATTCAGCAGGAAAGATCCATGTTCGAGGAACAAAGGTATAATCCAGAGGCCGGGACTTGATCATTCTGTAAATTAGAGATAATATGAAAAGTAATTTCTATTCAAACTTTTCCAAATTTTCTTTGTGCTACTGACATCGCAAGGATTTAAATTCCCACCAGTTCTTCATTTACTGATTCATTCAACAAAGGTCTATAAAGCACCTCCTATGTGCTAGGCATTATTCTGGACACAGGGGATATATCAGTGAAAAATACAGACAAGATTCTCTGTTCTATGTACTAATTAATATACTGATAGATCATTCAAGTATATACTATATGCTAGGCACTAGAGATATTAATATAAATTAATACGGTCTCTACCCTAAGGAATTTACATATAGGCTATTAAATACAATGTAGTAAGTGCAATAAAGACATACATGGCAAGGTAACATATGGAAATAGTCATTAACTCTGCCTCTGGGATGAGAGGGTGGGTAGCAGGAAATTGTTCACTGCCAGGTACCATTCATGCTGCTTCTTTATAATTTTAAGTCCTCTGAGGCACCCATAAGGAGCAGTTTTGATCAACTTTTACTACACTGTTTTTGAAGTTTAACTACTTTTCTGAGAAAACCATGTGAGCCTCTGAGTATACTAGAAATTTTGTTTTGTTTTGTTTTAACATGAACTACATATCCCTATACGTGTGGTTTTATGGCTACAATGTATGTCCTGATATTTTTATGTTTGCTACTAATCAGGCTGCCTATTTGATACATAACTTAAGGATAAAACTAGGCATAAAATGTTTACTTTTGATTAATCCCAAATATTAACCATTTTGTACATATTGATTCCCAATAAAAATGAAGAAATTAGAAGAAATATTTTAAAATATTATCTATTAAAGAAAATCTGATTATTTCAAAAAAAGGTCCTGTTAATAAATGTATGCAAGTCTTTTATAGATAAGGAGATATTGTCTCCAGATGAGATTGGTAAAATATAAAATGGGACCACAGTACATGGGATGCACAGAGGTAGGGCCTAAATTCTAAAACTAGGGTATGGAATATATAAGCCACCTGGCCTCCACAACTGTAGGTTCCTATGGTTATCATATTTCAAGTGCTCTTTCAAGAAAACCCTGTAAGAAAGTTATATTTCCACCAAATATATCATATTTCAAGTGCTCTTTCAAGAAAACCCTGTAAGAAAGTTATCTTTCCACCTGTAAGAAAGTTATATTTCTTCTCTACCCCATGAGAAGGGAAGCAATTACCAACTCTACCTGTCAGATCCAGAATAAGCCAATAAGCTAAATAATCTCAATACAAAATAGGCTAACATTGACTGGTTTGGAAAACACACATACACACATATACACAAAGCTAAAGGAAACACAGTAACAGTGCTAATGTCCTTGTTTTTGTGTCCAATACCTTTAAATGTATTTATCATATTTTTAACAATGATATGAAATTAGATCAATTTAAAGTTTTAATTAAAATAATATATTTTAAACTAACCACATAGGGTATTTATGAATGATACCATTCTTTCACATAGATGTTTGGGAAAAAATCCAAGCATGCATATATTCAAGAGAAATACTTTATTCCATTTAGCAATCTAGCACAAATCATTTGATGTAAAAATGTATAGTTTCAAAACAGACATGCAGTCTTAGGAATTTGGAAATATGGAATAATTTCTGCTCATAGCTGTCATGGATTTACTAAATGATATTAAACATGTAATTTAGTTAATTCTATTTTTATATAAATAGGTCATAACTTTCCATCTAATAGAAGATTCCTTTTTCCTTAAGGAAAATTCCAAGGATTCTATAAAAATGAGAAATTGCCTATTTGTAATAGCTACTAATGGGTCTACATTTAACCCTCTTGCCTCTCCCAGCCATACCGACTTCTGTTCTCTACAAAGCAAGTAGAATGATCTTTTCAAAATGCAAATATGGTCATTTTACCAGCTTCACCCCCACCCGTCCTCTCCTGTGGAATTTAGGATAAGGACTATAATCCCAACCATCACCATTCAGCTAATCTCTCCCATTCCCATCAATGTCTCTGTGCTCCAGCTACACCTGGCTTTATTTCAGTATCCTGACTATTCCTGCTGTCTTCCAGCATTATGACCTCAGACCATACTATTCTTCCTTCCCAGAAAGCTGTTCTCTACCATTTTCATCGATAAACTCCTACTCAGCATTCATATTTAGACTTCCACATCACATCCTCAGGGAAACTCTCCAATGCCTCCCTCAGCCAGATGTCCTTCACTGTGCACTGATTTACAACTATGTACCTCTACTTCATTGCACTTATCACAGTTGCAACCCAAAGTTGTAAAAGCCAAAAATCTGATTCCGATCACCTCATGTGCCCAAAGGCCAGCGCACTGCGCAGCATATAATAGATATTTAACAAATATGTTAGATGAAAGTAAATGACTTCAATGAAACACATGTCCAAAACTTTATAGAGGGAATTCCCTTTCCTCTGAAGTCTGTTCTTCCTATAACCCTGTGTTACTAAATTGCCCCACCTACACGATCTCCTAAGCCATCTTGGACACTGCTCTCCTCCTCCCCTTTGAGTCTCACATCACAGCAGCTTCCCAGTCCTGTCAATTCTATCTCTTCCCTATTTTCCAGATGTATTTTCTCTACCCCATTCCCACTATCTCTCCTTTGGTTTATCAGATGTTGACAATCACCTCCTTCAGGGCTTCCTCCTTCCTTTCTACCTTCTTTGAATCCATTATCTACAGGCCCACCAAGAGTATCAAAAACAACATTTCTCTGCTTAAACCCATTAAAAAAGTTCTCATTTCTCTCAGGATAAACAGAAATATTTGCTGCATAGTTAAAGAGATTAAAGAATCAATGATTAAATGATTGAATAAAACATAGTAACACGGTGTACCCAGCCTGGTCTTCGCATTTATCTGCAGCATCATCTTACACTGAGCCTCCTGGCACCCTATAAAACCACAGAAACTGCTTAGTAGTTCCCCAAACATATCATATTGGTTTAAGTCTCCATATAGTTTCTCCCACTGTTGTCTTTGCCTATAGTCTCGTTGCCTTCTTCTCAAAGGGTGAACTCCTATACACTTTTCAATATCCATTTTGCATTCGAATTCTCCAGAAAACCATCTGGGCCCTCCTAGAAATGACCTCTGTCATCATCCTTGTCAGAGCCATACAATGACTCTCCCCTAATGTGGTACCGTCAAACTGTATTATATGTATCACTCTTTCTCCCTTACTAAAATTTGAGTTCTAATCAGGGACCAGGCCTTCTTTGTCTTGTTTACTTGTTAGCAGTCTCTAGTCTATAGTAGACACACAAAAAATATTTGTTGAGTAAGTGGGTGTATAAACTTTCACATGATGCCTATAAATAGTCAGTTGCATACCAAGTTTACTAACCTTTCTCTGATTGAGTTTTCTTTTTTAAAAACTTTCTCAAATTATCACTCAACTTCCTTAAACTAAAAAAAAAACCTAATCCACAGAAATATAAATTGCATAAAATTTCTTCAGTTCATTTGGTATAACACTTGAGAAACTGTGAACAGTTTTTCCCATAAAAGCAGATTGTTACTCCAAATACTGGTCTCAGAGATAAATATATATACACGTATATCCCTGGGTAGGGACAGACACACGTGTCTATGTGTGAGTGCACAAATGCACCTACTATAGTGTCTGGCACACATTAGATGCTCAATAACATACAGATGCTCAATAACCAGGATATGAACATACACATACACACACAGTGTATTATGTTGCTAAATTGCAGTAAAAAAGAAGCCTGAGATTCTGGAGACCAGGATTCTGCTCCAGCTCTGCTATTAACTATTTGTTTGACTTGTGCAAGATACTCATTTCTCTGATTCTAAGTTACCTCCTCTGAAAAATGAAGGAAGAACCAGGAAACTTCTAAGACCTGCTAGCTCTAAAATTCTATCTCTTCAATCAAAATATCATTTCAAATCAATGTAACTTGGTGAAGGATACACTATAATATTCAAAACAAACTTTGAGAAGGTCTTCTCTATTATAAGAAAATGAAGATTACTTGGTCATATTTCTTGCTAAGAAATCCTTTCGACAGATCTCCCCCATTCCTGGAAAATGGTTGATCCTCTGGAAAATATAAAGGTAAATATTAATATTCTCATGGACTTAATGAATATATTCATTTATACTATAATAGAGTTACATCCATCCTCTGAATTTAATGTTTTAAAAAAACTATTAATGTAAAACATTTAAAATTAAATGACTTATAATGACTTTATAGAATTAAAGAATCTACAATAATCAAAGAATAAAATTGCAAATTTTTTAAGAAATTAGAAAATGGTGTTTACACAGATATTAAAGTTACAATTTTCTGTGTTGAATAACTGGTGATTCAATGTCCAAATTATTTCTAGTATTCTATATTTACTATATTCATACAGATAAGCACTGGCGAAAATGGCCTGGTTTCCTATAGTCAATTTTGTATTACGTTCTACACTGACAAACTATACAAAATGTCAATTGTCTAAAATTCTGTGTATTTGGCTTTTTAGTTTGATGTCTCTTTTTTAATATGTTTGTTTGACATTCTAAAAATAAATGAAGCCAGATTACACATAGCAGACATTACAAGGTATTTCAACTTCCTGATCTCTCTGTGCAATCTACTCCATGTCACTCATCTTTAAGCATAATGCAAAGCACCCGTGTAGGAAGCGTTTTCTCCTGTTAATTCTTCCTTAAAGATGGAAAGAGGTTAAAAGTTAGATTGGAAGGAATTCAGGCTTTTATGCAAAGCACAACTGGACAGCAACAAAACAGGCTATTTAGGTAAGTTAGAACTGAAATTTAATATGTCCACGCATTAAGAACCCTATCTAAGTAAAATTACAATGGAATTCATATAACTCTCCTAAAACCAATAATTGGTCATGATTAATCCCCACCTGGTAATTTTGCAGCTCTGCAATCTTCTCCTGCTGAACCGCAGAATCACACCATATAAGGTTACTTGTTTCATCCTCATCTGGAGTTTTCATAAATCCCATTTCATCTATTACTAAACGAACTGCAAATAAATGATTAAGTGAAATGAAAATTAAAATACTACTGAAATATATTCGTTGTGGAAACATTTTTGATATATTTAAATTTTATCTCACAGTATTTCATTTGCAAAATATCCATTAGTTACAGCATACCCTTATTTTTAGTTACAACAATTTATCTAGGGCCAAATTATACTCACAGTAACTGAGAACTGTTTTTAAGTTGCACTCAAAATCCTTGGATTCAACCCTCTGAGATTTAGCAGGTACACAACGCTGCTAAAGAGTTCAGTGATTATTCATGGCACATTGAAAACATACACACAGCTGAGACAACACCTCTACTCAGGAAAATGTACTTCATGGCTTTTTTTGTGACCTTGGGCTAAAAGGGAAAAGGGAAAAATAGTTCCTGATCATTAGACCTATCCTATACTTTCCACCTCCCCAGTTCAAATTATTTTTAGCAGTTAAAACCAAGTCAGCTATGTTGACTCAGGAAATGAAATAATGAAGCAGAATTCACAATAGAGATCTGGAAACTGGCCCTCCTATCTGCTCCTAACCCTTTAATCCTATTGAAAAAATTTATGCTTGGAAGAAAGCTTGTTTTTCAGTACAAACTATTTATATGCTCCCCTCTGATTAACATACTAACATTTGTCTTCCAATGAATTTCAAGTTTGGAATAAAGATAAGCAAAATATTTAGGATAAATTTTGGTTTCCAACAGAATTCTGAGTCTTTTTTTAATAAAATATTTTTTTATTTTATTTTATTGTGTTATGTTAATCACCATACATTACATCATTAGTATTTTTTTATGTTTTTATTATTATATTATGTTAATCACCATTATTTTTTGATGTAGTGTTCCATGATTCATGGTTTGCGTATCAGACCCAGTGCTCCATGCAAATGTGCCCTCTTTAATACCCATCACCAGGCTAACCTATCCCCCTACCCCCCTCCCCTCTAGAACCTCAGTTTGTTTCTCAGAGTCCATCGTCTCTCATGGTTCGTCTCCCCCTCCGATTTCCCCCCCTTCATTTTTCCCTTCCTGCTATCTTCTTCTTTTTTTTTTTTAACATATAATGTATTATTTGTTTCAGAGGTACAGGTCTGTGATTCAACAGTCTTGCACAATTCACAGTGCTCACAGTAGCACATACCCTCCCCAATGTCCATCACCCAGTCACCCCATCCCTCCCACCCCCCACCACTCCAGCAACCCTCAGTTTGTTTCCTGAGATTAAGAATTCCTCAGATCAGTGAGATCATATGAGTCTTAATAGAAAGGTGTTACTATATAGCAGCACTTCAATGTTTTATTTTTAAATGTTTTCCTTTTACTGTATACCCTATATATGAGGAGAAATGGTAAGAGCGGATCAACTGTCTGAATTTACTTGGCTCAAGTATAAAAGTGATGAGCAGACACTTGTCAGTCTCAAGTCCTAGAGACTCTTGATGGCTTTTTGGCTGAGGAGAAAGAAAGGACTTTTTATGCAATGGTTCCTAGAACACAGGCATAAAAGAAGAGAACAGTGATTGGAGGTGTGTGATGCTGGGGTGGGGGAGGAATGCTGAGCTGAAGTTGCCATTTTCCGTGAGAGGCTTGGGAAAACTTGGGGCTGTTCTGAAGGTCCAGGTGACAATGTACAAAGCAAGAGTTGGGGGAAGGGCTGTTCTCTTGTCTGCCCCAGACCACCATGCAGCTTTGGTGACCTGAGGGCTCGGGACCTGCCGTGCCACCTAGAAAGGGCTCACAGGAAGGACAACGGCCATAGCCACCCAGCCTGGGAGACTGCTTTACCTCACTCATAAGCAGAAAAAAAACAATGAGGCCAGAATAGCAGCTCAAGACAGACCTGTTCCTGAGTTCAGGAGAGATGTTGTCTGGGGATGCTCAGAAATAACCGAGAAGACCTTAAAGAGAGAAAGGGAACTGGTGGCAGTTACAGAGGGAGGGAGTATAATGAGCTACTACAATGTGGTTATGAATGTGTGCATGAACCAGTGAGGCTGGGAACATTCGGGTTATATAACAATAGTGGAAAAGATCCATTCTTTCCTTAGATTCACAAAAGCAAATCTGTAAGGTCAGTCATATATAAATCTCTTTTATTATGAAATTCAAAGCTTGAAGGGCTGACAAAGTTGAACTTCAAAGAAAAATACAATGCCGGGTATTAAAATGTCACTTTTTTCAGGTAAGCTATTTAATCAAATTTTTATTTGAACTGAAATTTTAGAAATCAATTGGAATCTTTTAAGGATATCATCCTCCACCGCACGGAAAAGAAATCCATTTAATGCGTCAGTTCCAAATAGAAAGTTGTTGACAGCTAAAGCCTAACTCCACGCCTTTAAATGCTGGTATTTTAGGAGCTCTCTTTTAAAAAGGGGGTGAAATACTTGCCTCCATACTGAATTTCTACCAAACCAAATGCCTCATTGGTAAAATAGAGATAACCATATGAACCATTTCCTCACGTTTCCCTTTGCAAACTTACATACCCCCCTCTCTGATCTTTCTCGTCGGCATTTAATAAAAATTATCAAAAATACATTCCTCACAATTTGTCCTATGATCTTTTGCCTTGACCCACAGAGCTTTCAGAGGCTGTTCAGGAGTTTTAAAAATAGGAATCCATGCAACTCTCTGAATTTTAGATACAGAAGAAACATTTGTGTTTCTCATTTTAAATTCCAATTCACATTTTATTTGGGCAATATGATAGAGTAAAAAGAAAACTGAACTTGGAAACAAATGAATTCAGGTTCAAGTTCCACTTTTGCCATCTGTGTGAACTTGGATAAGTTGCTAACTCTGGACTTGTTTCTTCAACTTTGCTATAAAGGATGTATAAAAAATAATGTGGAATTTCATAATGTAATAATTATAGAACTACTGAGAGAATGTACTTCATTATTCCACAACATGTCTTCATAAGAAACTATTAGAGAAATTTCTCTCAAGACTCAGGAATACAGAAGTCATATGTCCTTTGAATAACCAGTACGATTTTATCTTCTGGGCACTGTGCATCCTATAACTGATTATGATTTAATATTTGCTTTGGTTGCTAGGAAGCTCTGAGTCAAATCCGTGTCCATCTCTAACTATAGAGGGTCTCATGGTATGTATTTTGGATTCTTGCCAGCCACAAGATTCATCTTATTTTACTATCTTTATTTTTCCATGTTTATTTTCTTATGGCTATATGCCACTTCAAATTCACCTCACTATTAGAGTGAGGAAAGGCAGGGAAAAGAGAGGAAGGGAGTAATGCAGCCTATTTTACAGGGTTATTTGGAAGATTAAATGAGGTACTGCCTGCAGAAATGTTTGGTCAGGGGTGCCTGGGTGGCTCAGTTGGTTAAGCGACTGCCTTCGGCTCAGGTCATGATCCTGGAGTCCCGGGATTGAGTCCCACATCGGGCTTCCTGCTCAGCAGGGAGTCTGCTTTTCCCTCTGACCCTCTTCCCTCTCGTGCTTTCTATCTCTCATTCTCTCTCTCTCTCAAATAAATAAATAAAATCTTTAAAAAAAAATGTTTGGTCAATGGTTATAAAAATATTACTATTAAAACTACAACAAAGTATTCTACATGAAGAAACAGGCAACACCAGGGCAAAAACACAGGTGTGCTGACTATGGCTTAAGTGTATTTTCATTATGTAATTCAAAATGCCAAGAGAGCAGGAATTAAATTATAAAAAGTAAGCTGTTGCATATCACTTGCTTAAATAAGGGAAAAGCAAGGTAGCACTTTCTCCTTCACACATGGCCAATTCTCTCTTTCCCTTCCCTATACTTGGCTCTGTATTCTCCCAACAGTCCCTGATCCAAGGATTGAGCCAGGAATTCTGTTAAACACCACGGCGCAGGTTCAGCAAGGAGGTAGGAATCAGTATAAAGAATGCTAAGGCAACTTCAGCCCTGGGAAAACTTCCTGGGAAAGTGAGAGGGAAGTGAACTGAAACACTCTCCTATAGATCAAGGTTCCTTATGAACCCCACCAGAACCTTAAAAGTAAGTAAGAGGATAAGTTAACACCAACCATCAATCACTTTAACAATGGTCACCTTACTCTTGTTTCTAGAAAACATGCTGCAAATAAACCCTGAATCTTTCACATCTCACCCTCCCACGCTAACCTGTTCAAGTCCCCGCCTCTGAGGACCACTTGTTGGAATAGAGTATTGGGGCACCTCAATTCCAGTGAAGTATTCCACTGATTGCTCAAGAACTTTGGTGAATTACTGTAAATGGAAATGAGACTCTCAAAGATGAATAAGGGTAAGAATAATTAACATCCTTGAAGTTCATATGATGTTCCCCAACTCTCTTAAAGCAAAATGGCTAAGAGGAAGATCAGTTGAGTACTTCTGGTATTTGTTAAGAGTTCTGCAATGCTGGGCAAGTGCATCTTAATTTAAAACAATTATTCTTCTTATCTATTCGCTATACCACAGATACTGCTTATACATAAAAACTGGAATTTCATTAATAAAAAGCAACAGCATCATCAAAACAATTTTTTAAAACACAGAGAGAAATGTGTTTCTACTCTCTTCCTGAAGTCAGTCATTGTTTAATAAAAATCTCAAATTTTGTACTTTTTTAATTTTACATCTAACATTTTAATCTGTTTAATGTTTACTTCATACTTGATTTAAAAAATAAGTATTAACCAAAAGCACATATATATAATACCATCCCATTAGTAGCTAAAGCTTTTAGTTTACATTGATGTTTCTGTTTATTAACATGTTAAATATCTCATAAAAAAGAACAATTTATAGAAGTCATTTAAAAATCAATTACACAAAAGATATCTCCCTGAATTTAGTCTTTCCAACAGTGAGGAAAACCTCATGATTCTGAGGAGACCCACCAATTTCAAACTTTGTCCCGGCAACATTTGCTGTAATGGTTCCTTTCTTTTTCTTCTTTCGGACTTTCTTTTTCATTGTGCTTTGATAAGGCAATTCTGTATTCAGATCCAGGGGAGAGGGTCCCTGAATGACTTTAAAAGAAATGTAAACCAATCAAATATCACTAAAATAACAAAAATTCCATAGCAGAGAACACAGATGCCCCCCCACCACAAAAAAAAAAAGTAAAACTATAAATTCTGGTTATTTAAGACTCCTCAACTGATCTTTGATTCTTAGAAAAAATTCTCAGTGATGATCTATAATGATGTGACTACGTCAATCCGCTTACCTCTTTCTTGAGGCAAAGATGGCATTATTGCCTGTGCCTGTTACAGCGAGTGCTGTTGTACCAAGCTCTCAGGAAATCTGGAAGGACTGCATTAGTCTAAGTAGGATATGGCCCCAAGTCACTGAAAGTTCCTATCATATTATCTTGGTGGAATCCTCAGATTTCAGGACACTGAAGTTATGGGATGAGAAAGTACCTGTAGGGATTTTTAAAACAAAGTCATTTAGAAGACAACTTCTATGAAATATTTCTGTTCTTTTTAAAAGTCAAGTGAAGGTGAAAGTTAATGTATTCTATCAATAAATATTTGCTAACTTATTAAACCTTACACAAAATGCCAAGTGATAGTTCCCTGTCCTAAAAAGTGCACAGTGTAGAAGAGGAGATTTTATTTCAGTCACATATCATATTTACACACAACAAATAACATGCCATACACCAATAACCATCTATTGAACACTTACTATCGTGGGCCACTTAAGCCACTTAATCTTTCAACAAAACCATGAGGTAGAAGCTTTTATCCCTGTCTTACTGTTAAGTAAACTGATCTCAGAAAGGACAAATCTTTACACAACAAGTGACAAATTAAAATTAACATCTCTCTGATGTCAAAGTCAGTGCCCTTAACTAGGACTCCATACAACCTTCAACCCAATGTCTGACACGTAGGTGCAGCATTACTTTTCTTATGAAACAGTGAAGTAGGTGCCAGGACAGAGATCACATACCAGAAGAATACAGAGAAAAGGGATTTCTCATTAAGGAGGGGGGCAGCAGTCGGCGGGGAGGAAGGTGACGACCTCATAAAGTAGACCACATTTGAATTGTGCCTTAAAAAATGAAAACAATTTTGTTATTACAACGAGCTTATTTGGGCACACAGAGGAATGCTATAAACATTTTTTAATGAACGAATTTGATTTGGCTACACCGCAGCATGGCCTATATTACACCTGTATTTTCACTGTGTATGTATGAACCTAGGTATTCATGCCCTGCCTATACTATGCTTCCCAGGCTATATTATCAGTTTTCTAATTTCTCCATTCACAATGTAAGAATCTTTGAGTTCTTGTAAAATGTCTCTAAACACAATGAAAAATTATAAAACCTATTATGATAAACAAAGGTATGGTATCAATACCTTTATCAGGAGATTATTAGGTTTATCAGAAATTCAGCTACATAAAATGTGACTCATATACATCACATCCAATAGTCATTATTAATAATAAGATTCATTATTAAAGAAAATTTAGAACTTAGTTTGTTCTCAGGTACCATTTTTAGTAGAATAATTATCTAGAATAATTCAATCTGAAAGCTAGGAAACTATTATTTATTACAGACCAACTGTGGGCAGGCACTGTTAAGAATCTAAAATATCTTACCTCATTAACAAACCTGGAATTTAGATATCATTTCTGCAATTTTCCAGATGTAGAAATTAAGGCTAAATAAGTTAAATAAGCCAAGGTAACAGTTTATAAAATAGAAAACCTAGGCTTTGAACCCCATTCTGTCCAGTTGTTCATACTATTCACAAAGCCCCACTATTTTCAGACACTCTGCTAATATGCTATATAGATGTAAAAAAAAAAAAAAATTGGCAACCCAGCTGCAGTACAAGCTGCAAGATATGGGCGTATTGTGGGAAATCACAATACTTCAAACCAAACAGAGAAATCACAGTAAACATCCCTAGCCTGATCTCAGCTCCCAATTCCAAGCTGGAAATAGACTGGATTACTCTACAGAATAAAAGAAAGGAGTGGTCTAAAGTTCAGTGTGATTTCTTTCTGGAAGCTCTCTGATACCTCAGGGAGGTAACTATTTGGGTTTACAAGTCCTTGTCCAATTTCTTGTTACTGGAGAAAACAAAGATCCTCTTATGGTAACAGAGTACGTATTACATTTAAAGTAGGTGACAAAGTCAACAAGAGTGTGAGACAATGTCTGCCTAACTATACTGACAATAAGTTAGTAATTGTTACAGGTTCTAAAAGCAGATTGTTAATTTCTGACTTAAATAATGAGCCAAACTACTCTGATTAGTATAAAGCTCAAAACGAGAACTGTTAACTCTTCTCCCACCACACAGGAATTTAAAGGCCTTAAATTTAGTCTATCCATTTATATGCCTTATTTAATTTCTACCATCCCAATTCTAATCATTTCACTTTATTCTTAGTGAGAGACATGAAAGGACAGACTGATCACACCACTCAAATGAGCCATGGTTACCTACTTTTCAGAAGCACACAGCATGTTTCAGTTACCTCCAAAATACTTTAGCCAAGGGTTTCTTCAGCTCGGCTGCAAAGTAGAATCACTTGAAGAACTTCTGAAAATCCTGGTACTCAGGCCACACCCTAAACCCCGGTGAGGCCCAAGTATCAGCATGTTTTAAGCTCTCTCTCATGATACATGACTGTATCATGCAGCCAAGATTGACAGCCTCTGCTCTAAGCACATAGTGACACTGAATCAAATAATATAACATACACATATCAGAAAAAAGTAAAACAAAGAAAAAAACTTTGGAACCTATATAAAAAAAGTCCAAATATTTAGATAAAAATCATCCATTAAAATCCTCATTTCTATAGAAGTTCAAGTAAACAAATTCGGAAAAAAAAGAATTAGACGATCAGCAGAAATTTTCTAAGACAAATAAGCTATTTTATTTGGCAAATAAGCCATTTCCAAAAAAATCAATTTCTCAAAATGTCAAGCAAATGGGAACCTTAAATGTAGAAGCTCAAGTGCTACCATGCAAAACAATAGATACATAAGATGAAAACCCAAAAATTGTAATTCCAATACATTTGTGTTGGAGTGCTCTTTCTTCCCAGTTCTTCCCATTGAATTGCAACCCATCACTTAAAATCCAGAAAAATTTCCACTTTTCTCTTAAAACTTTCTCTGATTATGTTTGAAGAAATTCATTTTTCCCTCTTTGGGTCTATCACAGAGGCCATTATTTGTACCCCTATCATGTCGCTAACCACAAACTAGGAAGGTAAACTCTGTGAAGACAAGTGGTTTTCTTCTATCTTGTTCACTCCTCTGCTCCCAGAGCTTAGAATATTGCCTGACATAATGCTAAATAAGCACTTGTTCATGATGCCGGCTGGGAGTAACCGGAGGTGGTCATGGAGCTATGAGAAGCAAATACGTATCATTTACAAACATTATTTTCACATTTTTAAGTGAAAAAAGCAAAGTACATAAAAGTTTACATTTGGGTAAAATAACAGAAGAATATGTGGAATATATGCATTGAGTAGTGGAGGCCTGTTGCGGCTGGGGGCAGAGCTCATGGAGATTTACTTTTATGTACAACCTTTACTATCTTGTGCATGTATTACCTATTTAAAAGTAAAAAACATGTGATAAAAGTTTGTTACAACAATACCATATTAATAAGAAAACCCATCAAACTTTGTATTTCACTTATTTTCCTTAAAGATTTATTTATTTGAGAGAGAGCGTGCATGCACATGAGCATGAGCTGGGGTGGGGGTAGCAGAAGGATAGGGAGAGAAGCAGACTCCCCACTGAGCACAAAGCGCACATTCGATGTCACGACACTGAGATCATGACCTGAGCTGAAATCAAGAGCTGGACACTCAACCGACGGACACCTGACACCCTAAACTTTGTATTTTACTTAGATGAAAGTATAATATGGTAGAAAGAACACTGGACAAGAGGTCAGTTTACATTCTTATCCTTTACTCTGACACTTACCAGACAGACAACTTAATTTCTTAATGTGCAAAAGGAAGAAATTGATTTTTCCCAGCCTTACAGTCTAAAATGCCAACCAATGAAGATAGCATTGGTGGTATCTGAAACAACAAGATGAACACAAGACATCTTTTGTGTAAATTACACAAGAGAAACTCAGACCTTCCCAACAATCCCCCAAAATCCATGCCCCAGTGAATGCTATATAAAATGGGTTCTTCATACATATTGGTGGAAGTTTAGCTTACCATAGATTACTAAAATAATCTTCATTAAGGGCCAATGGAAACCAAAATTAGTGTTAAGTTGAAAATACATTAAATAACATTAAATAAAAATTTAATAAAAGTTATTTTATGGTAAGGAGAGGGAAGGAGACAGAAATAGATATAAACCAGTACCTACTGTGTACTAAGTATTTTCACATAACTTTGTGTGTATTTAGCCCACCCAATAAATGCCCCAGTATGTTTTATTCTAATTTTACATATAGGAAAATGTAGACTTCATGGCTAAGTAACTTGCCCAAAGTCACACCTAATAGGTGACAATGAAGTGGCTTGTCTCTAAATTCCATGACATTTCCCACTCTGTATGCTACCTTCAAAATTCAGTCTTTAAATATGACATATTGAAAATTTCACAAAGAAGCTTAATTCTGCTTGACTGGAGCTATTTTAAAAGCTAGGGAATGAGAGCAAGAGAAACAAGCTGTGGTTTAAAATGTAGTTGAGATCATAAAGTTGCATCAGATTTAATCTCTCTTCTCAGAACACCAAGGCAGTTATCCATATTCAGACTGTTTTCCTGTTTCTTCCTTCATGAAGATACTACAATTCAACAAATACTCTTATATATCACTGTCTATTCTCAGTGAATGAAAGAGACAATTTTCTTTCTTTGTGGTGCTTGCATTCTAGTGCAGCAGAGACAAACAATAACAGCAAACATATTAAGTAAACTATAGAAAATGCTAAGTACTATGGAGGAAGGGAGCACAACTGGTTAGGAGATCAAGAGTTGGGGGGAAAGGAAGGAGAAGGGTTGCAATTTTAAATACAGAATCCAGATAGTCCTCATTGGGAAGGTGATATTTCAAGGGGAGTAATGACATGTTGTCACAGTGGAGTTGATAAAAATCTGATGCGTATGTGTACATATGTGCATGAAAGCATGGTGGGGATGTGAACATGTGTGATGGGGAGGGAATGGGGAAACATTATTTCTGTGGTAGTGAACACTCTTAAAGCCCTCCAATATGGTTCTTTTTCCTAAATCCTGGTGTTCCTAGGTATTTATTTTTACATTGATTTTTAAATTACTATTTTCACACTGACAAGGAGAACAAACATGTTTCACAGTGTATATAACTAGTTTTAGATACTTTTGATAGTGTATCACTCTTTTGATGGACAGGGAAAGAGGAGGGGCAGAGAGATC